CCAAGCACCTGGTACTAGTCAGGCCTCCCAAATGCTCCTGTCCTACCCCCGACCCCGCCCACACCGGGCTCAGGGGCTGGTGTCCCTCAGGGCCACGGGGAGGGAGGTGTTTGACTGGATCCTGGACCAGGGCTACTACTCGGAGCGAGACACGAGCAACGTGGTGCGGCAGGTCTTGGAGGCCGTGGCCTACCTGCACTCACTCAAGATTGTGCACAGAAACCTCAAGGTAAGGCCAGAGCCAGAGGGACTGGATCACTTGGCACCTGGGCTGGGGGTGGCGTGAGTGCCGCGCTGGGCTCTGGTCCAGCTTCTGAGGCTCTCGTGGTAACTTCTGCCTGCCTTTCTACCATTCTCTCCTGAACAGCTGGAAAACCTAGTGTACTACAATAGGCTGAAGAACTCAAAGATTGTCATCAGTGACTTCCATCTGGCTAAGCTAGAGAATGGCCTCATCAAGGAGCCCTGTGGAACCCCGGAGTATCTGGGCAAGGAGGGATGGGACAGGGGATGGTGGAGGGACAGCCTTCAGGGAGAGAGTTTGGGGTAGGGGAGAAGTCTCCATCCTGAGAAGTGGGTGTGGATGGCACTTTTTCTGGCCAAGCTTGATGCTGACCAGCAGATGGCAAATGAACCTCTTTTGTTTTTCAGCACCAGAAGTGGTGGGACGGCAACGGTATGGGCGCCCTGTGGACTGTTGGGCCATTGGCGTCATCATGTATATCCTGTGAGTGGAAGGGCACGTAATTGGGCTTGCAGCCAGGTGGGCTGGACAATTGTGCCTGTGGCCACCCTAGGTGACCCTGCTCCATGTAGGCTTTCAGGAAACCCACCCTTCTATGAGGAGGTAGAAGAAGATGACTATGAGAATCATGACAAGAATCTCTTCCGCAAGATCCTGGCTGGTGACTATGAGTTTGACTCTCCATACTGGGACGATATTTCTCAGGCAGGTGAGGAGATACCCAGCATGTGGGCAGAGTATAGGGCAGTAGGGAGGGAGGCGCTGCTCTCAGCTTCTGCTGGATTCTGCTCCTGCTCCCCAGCCCATTCATCACATCTAGACAATGAGATGGGGCGCCCATGCCTAGCCCATCCCTGGCTTTGTCCCCAGCCAAAGACCTGGTCACAAGGCTGATGGAGGTGGAGCAGGACCAGCGGATCACCGCAGAGGAGGCCATCTCCCATGAGTGGTGAGCAGGGCCCATGAGTGGAGAGTAGGAGGACAGGAGGTCAAGCGTCTGCCTGGCGGCCCTAGATCGCACGGGGAAGGTCTGGGCAGCCTCCCGGAAGGCACAGACCATTCCAATCATATGCGTTTGTCTCCTTTCGAGGATTTCTGGCAATGCTGCTTCTGATAAGAACATCAAGGATGGTGTCTGTGCCCAGATTGAAAAGAACTTCGCCAGAGCCAAGTGGAAGGTAGGCTCTGGCTCGCTTTCTCCTTGGCCCAATTCCAAGTGCTTCGTCGTGCACCCACAGTTCTTCTTGCTGCCACTGCACCTCTTCCGCTGAACACAAAGTTTTCCCGGGCCATCATACGTGGCTGTAACTGCTGCTGTTATCTTGGGCTGCAGTACTGAGTAGCTGGGAGGCCAAAGACAGCCGGGGTACTGTGGAGGGGGTTAGGTTTAGCCATTTGGCAGGAGTGGATCCAGAGGACCTCACCACGAGCCTTTTTTCACTGTCCTCCTTTCAGAAGGCTGTTCGAGTGACCACTCTCATGAAACGGCTCCGGGCACCAGAGCAGGCCGGCACAGCCGCAGCCCAGTCTGCTTCAGACGCTGCTGCTCCCGGGGCTGCTGGTGGGGCCATTGCTGCGGCTGCAAGTGGAGCTGTCCCAGCCTCTGGGGCCAGTGCTACTGCAGCCACAGAGGGTGGTGCTGGCTGTGCTACCAAGAGTGATAATGTAGGCTCTGCAGATCGCAGTGCCACCCCAGCCACTGATGGGAGTGTCACCCCAGCCACAGATGGCAGTGCCACCCCAGCCACTGATGGCAGTGCCACCCCAGCCACTGATGGGAGCATCACCCCAGCTACTGACAGGAGTGCTACACCAGCTACTGATGGGAGAGCCACACCAGCCACAGAGGAGAGCACAGCGCCCACTACTCAAAGCAGTGCCATGCCAGCTGCAAAAGCAGCTGCCACCCCTGAGCCGGCTGTGGCCCAGCCGGACAGCACAGCCCTAGAGGGCGCCACGGGCCAGGCTCCATCCTCTAGTAAAGGAGAAGAGGCTATTGGCTGTGCCCGGGAGTCTCAGAGGGAGGAGACAAGCTGAATGGGCAGCCTGTTGGGGGTTTTGAGGGACGGGAAGGCGGGTGGGAGTATGGATGAGGGGCTTCTCACTGTATATAGAGTCACTGGCATGATGCCCTAGCTCCCCCCAAGCTCCCTCATCCCAGTGGGGCATGCCTGGGGGCCATGGGAGAGCAGTCTCGTCTCCTGTGTGGATGTGTGTGAGTGGTGGGCAGGCCAGAGACAGGGCCAGCCCCAGCCCCTGCATGGATTCCTTGTGGCTTTCCTGTCTTTTTGCTAGCTTCACCAGTTTCTGTTCCTTGTGGGATGCTGCTCTAGGGATACTCAGGGGGTCCTTGCTCTCCTCCTCCCCTTCCTGCCTCATCATTTCCCCAGGCAGGCCCCTACAAGTTTCATACTTTCCCAGGCCCTAAATTGGGTGGCCTTGCCCTGAGAGCTGGTCCTCCAGCGAGGCCCTGTCAGCAGTGTTAGGTTCTTGCACATGAAGGTGCGTACCTGTAGCATGTGGGCTGCTCTCGGAGCAGACGCTGGCTGCTAGAGAGGACGCAGAAATCTAGGGCAGTGTGCTTGAAGTCAAGTCTGGTCACATGGTTGCGGGCACTGCATGTTAGCTGTGGGGATCCTCAGAAGTGGGAGAGAGAATGGGGAGAAGGGGAGAAGCTTCCATCTTTTTCCCTGAATGGGGATCTTCCCTCTGAAGATCTTTGTGTTACTTTTCCCCCTTCTGAGTCCTGTATCGGGTTGCTCTGTACCCCGATTCTTATGAAACCCTACAGGACAGGACAAACAAGTAGGATGCAAGCAGTGAGACCGAGGAGAGCAGAGCACAGGCCAGCACCAGTGTCTCAGCCGTCTGAGTCCTTACTGTGAGCTCGATAGGGAGGCCTGGTGTCCCCCATGGTCTTCCTGGATGTCACTGCCACAGGAAGAGACCTTACCCATGGCCACCTCACGCAGGCTCAGGCCATAAATCCTCTTCCTCCCAGGGAGGCATGGCAGTACCTCATAGGCTGCTTTGGGAGCTTGCTTTTTCCAGTGGCAGATTTTCTGCTCTCAGTTCAGCAACATGGAGGGGATTTTCCTCTGTTTCTACTCTCAGAGGCTGAGGTGTCACTCAGCCACGTTAAGTTGCTCTTGCTGGGATGAGGAAGTAGAATAAGATTCCCCAGTTCCCCGAGGGATGCTCTTGGCAGGTGCCCTTGGTCAGACCCTATCACAGCCTGAACAGGCAGCCACGCTGGTCCCTGCCCTTGCTCGGCACTCCATGCTGGTCCTGCCCCTCTCCCTGCATGCCTGTGGGTCTGCTCTGGTATGTGAAGGTTGGTGGGCTAACTGTGTGCCTGCTGAACCTGGCAAATAAACGTCACCCTGCAAAGCCTCTGGCCACCCTCTTGCCTTTGCTTCCTCTGTCCTATTCGGGAGGAGCCCATGGAAGGCAGTGGGGGAGGGGAGAGGCAGGGAGCAGGTGTTTGGGTAGTGACTGATGCTCAGTGCATTGCTTGGGGTGAGAGTGAGGGACACCTCCATTGTGTACCTGGATGATGTTGATGGGAACCCTCTGAGCTTTAGAAAACCATGTGAGTGGTTTGGTTCAGCCAGGAACTAGGCCCTGGGCTGAGCACAGAAGGGCTGATGCTTTTCCAACTCTTGTTGCCAGGGAGCCTTTGTCTTAACTTGGACAGAGAGGTGAAATCCACTCAGGGTCAACCACTGTAGGCAGAGACCTTGCTCATGGGCAAAGTGGGCTTCCTTGGACTGGGGAGAGGGTGGGGTTGCACAACAGTTCTGTGCTGTATGTTGATGCCTGCTTCCTGTTAATACCTGTGCTTCCCCGTTAGACCAAAAAGATTTAACTCTTGTCTTCCCCAGCTGGAGCAGACCCGCTTGATAATAATGAGTCATGTATGTTTCTTCTGGGGGAATAATACTGCTAACGACATCATAGCAATCCCTAAGGAGACTCGCTTCAGCTCAGATGGGCTTTGGTGAACTCACCTGGGTTGCTTTCTCAGGGAGTACCTTAAATTATCTGATGTGGGAATAATAAAGAGGGTTTGCTATTTCCTGGTCTTTGAAGCATCTGTACCTTCAAAATCACCATCCTACAGTCCCAGGCATGAGTAATCCTGGGAGGTAAGAGCTAAATTACTGGCCCTAGTGTCTACCTAATCTCAAGGATTATTAGGGCATATTTGAATAAAGCCAAAGCTAGTGTAGTGGTTTGAAGGGTTGGGACGTAATGTGTTCATCTTCCCAAGATCATCCATAGGAGAAGGCTGAGGAAGTGGGGGCCTTTTTTGGGTCTGGGGACTGTGGGCTGCCAGGGCAAGGTCTATCACTTTCCATAGCCACGGGACTATCATCCCTTTTCCTTGGGTTGTCAGCCTGACTGTCCCCAAGTGCAACAAAAAGAGGTCTGGTTCATTTCGCACCAGCTCTGGCTTGAGACAAAGCCCGGTTTAGCAGGGATAGGGGTTGGTCTGCAGCGTCACGGTTTCCGCCCCAGTCGTTCGCTGGTAAAAAACGGGACTCACTCTTACAAGACTCCTAAGAGCTACTGAGCTATGTCCCAGGATTCCGCGCGGCAGGCGGGAGGGCGGGCCGATATCCGCTAATCCGCGCCCCGTCCCGAGGTTTGTCCAATCAGAGCGAAGCACTCACACGTAGTTTGTTTGTGAGTTCGGGTTAACTTCCGGACTTTTCCGGAAGTCGTGTCGTGGAGCGAATTTTGAAGGAAGTGGAGCTCCGGGTGTGCTGCCAACAAGCTGGACCTGTTGCAGTTTCCCAGGCTATCTGGGCTGCTGGAGTAGAGCCATCATGCCTATCCGCGCCCTGTGCACTATCTGCTCTGACTTCTTCGATCACTCTCGCGACGTGGCTGCCATCCACTGTGGCCACACTTTTCACTTGCAATGGTGAGTGACAGCGGTGCAGGGCTCCCGCGCGTGTCCTGGAACCACTTTGAGGCTGTGGGGTGTCAGGCCTAAAGGCGGTCATCGTCGGAACTCAGGTGATGGTTGGAGGAACCACACGGAAGCTTTCCAACCTGGGCCGAAGTGGGCCAGGTGGAAGTGATAGCTTCCCAGGGGTGCGTTGAGAAGAGTTAGGTAGGCGCCTCTTTAACTTGTGCTAAGAAATATGACTTTAAAACTGCATATCATATTACAGGCCGGAGAGGAGGGAGGATGTGGAGGCAGAAAGATCAGGAGTTCATGGTCAGTCTCAGCTACACAGTGAGTTAAAGGCCAGCCTGCACTTTCTGAGATCTTGTGTCAAAATACAAAAACGAAACCACATAATCCAGTGTTGCACGGCACAAGCCCCATGCTCGGGAGCCATTGTGTAGTTAGTTAGGTTAGAAGGCAACCCTACCCCTAAAGGTCCTCCCCTGTCCTTTAACTTTGAACTTTCTTGTGTATTTATATTTTAGCTCTGTCTCTTGAAAGCATGTTTGGCTTTAAAAATTTGCATTAATTTTTGTTTGTATTTAATTGTACCTTTTAGTCTACCTAAAAAGCCACAATTACTGATGATATTTAGATTAAATCTCTCATATTCGGTATTTTCTATTTTGTTCCACCTGTTGTGTTTTGTTGTTTTCGGTTTTTCAAGACAGGGCCTCTCTCCATAGACCTAGCTGGCCTCAAACTCAGAGATCTGCCTGTTTCTTGCCTCCCAAATGCTGGGATTAAAGGTGTGCACCACCATGCCCAGCTGATTTTTGTTGGTTTTTTTATGTCCACTCTTTAACTCATGTGTGAGTGTATTTGTGTGACTGTACCTGTGGGTGCAGGTGCTCTCACTGGCCAGCTGCATTTGACCCCAGTGGAGCTGGCGCTGCAGACAGCTGTGATCAACCAACCAGGAATGAAATGTGTTTCTTTGTGTTTTCTATTTAGTCGGTTGCTTATAGTGTGGATCCGTGGGTATTTATTTAGCTTAGCTTTTCAGTTATGAAGTTTATACCATTATTTATCTTACTGCTCAGAATAGCTTCTGTCTCCTGCCTCCACCTTCTTTTTTTTTTTTAAATAATTTATTTTTAAAAACATTTTTATGTACATTGATGTTTGAATGCATGTATGTTTACATGAGGATGTCAGATTTGTCTGTAACTCCCGTTACAGACAAAATTGGGAGCTGCCGTGTGGGTGCTGGGATTTGAACCCGGGTCTTCTGGAAGCACAGCCAGTGCTCTTAACCTCTGAACCAATTTTCCAGCTCCCTGCCTCCACCTTCTAACTTAATCTCCTTCTGTAGCTATAATTTGAACTCAGGGCTTTGCTCATGCTAAGTAGGTACCCTACCACTGAGCTACATCACCAGCCTCCACTTACTTTCTGTGTGTGTGTGTGTGTGTGTGTGTGTGTGTGTGTGTGTGTGTGTGTGGTGTGATGCCAGGGATCACTTGTGCACTGATAGGTATTCTGCCACTGAGCTTCATCTTTAGCCCTTGTTTGTTTTTGTTTTTTCAGTTTTTTATTCTGTTTTATTTTAAGCAAGAGGGTGTTTTGTGTGCAGGTATGTCTGTGCACCATGAGCGTGTCTGGTGCCTGTGTAGGTCAGAGAGGGTGTCAGATATCCTGAAAGCAGAGTTACAGACAGTTGTGGGCTGCCATGTGGGTGCTGGGAATTGAACCCGGGTCCTCTGGGAGAGCAGCCAGTGCTTCATCTTTCTGGCTACAAGCCCTTGCTTTTTTTTTTTTTTTTTTTTTTAAGATTACTATTGCATTATGTGGCCAGTCTGTCTTCAAGCTTAGACTCCTTCTTTCTTAGATTCTCAGGGGATAGGTCACAGGCCTGGCTCACTTATTATTATTATTGTATTATACATTACATAAAAGTAACTATTTTAACTTTTTTTTTTTTTTTTTTTTTTTTTGAGGCAAGGTCTCACTGTGTAGACTGGGCTGACCTTGAACATGGAGATACACTTGAGCTTGGAAATTAAAGTTGTGTGCCGCTCGCTACACCTGCACCCTTTTAACCCTTTTTAGGTGCTGATTCAGTGGCATTAAGAACACTTACAGTGTTGAATACCCTTCAGCACTGTTACCTGGACAGTGCGGACAGAAGCACATTTCCCATCAAACACTGGCTCTCTGTGTCCTCTCCTCCCAGTCCCTGAGACACTCTTCTGCACCCTCTATGCCTGAGTTTTCTATTCTAGGGCTCTCGTGTAGATGGAGTCTTGTATTCTTTGCCCTTTCGAGTCTCATGTATTTCACTCAGCATAATAATTTTAACATTTATCCATCTCATAACATGTATCAGAATTTCATTTTTGTTGTGGCCAGTATTTACTTGTATTTATGAAAATACCATATTTTGTTTATCCATCCGTTCGTTGATAGACAGGTATTTTCAGATTATGAATAATGCTGCTTTGAACTGCCGTACAAATTCCTGTCTGAGGCTCTGCTTTCAGTTCTTTAGAATGTATACCTGGGAGCTGAAAGGCTGGCACATATGGAGAGTCTATATTTAGTCTTTTTTAGGAATTGGCATACTATTTTCCACAACAGCTGCCTGCTTCTCTTCTCTCTGTCTCTGTCTCTGCATCTCTGTCTCTCTCTGTGTGTGTGTCTCTATTTCTCTCTCACATTTCTCTGTGTTGCACAAGCTGATTTTAAACACCATTTTATTATTTTCAGTGCTAGACATTGAACCCAGACTGGTACTAATCCCATGCTCTACCTCTGAGCTAAATCATATACACACGCACACACATACAGTTTTAGACAAGTTCTCATTATGTAGCCCAGATTGTCCTTGAACTGATAATCCTCTTGCCTTAGCCTCCCACTTGCTGGAATTTCAGGAATGCACCATAATGCCCCAGTATATACCACAATGCTCCCAACTTGCCTGCAACAAAAAAAGATAAGGATTCCAGTTTTCTCACATCTGTGGTAACACTGTCATGTGTATGTTTCTGTGTGTTACTAAGATTCAAACCCAAGGTCTTGCACATCCTAGGTCAAATACTATCCCAGACAGCCATACTCCTAATCCTTCCTTTTTGATGATAGCTGTCCTGATGAGTGTTGAATGCATCATACTGATTTTTGGATTATTTGTTTGATTTTTGTTTCTGTTTTTGTTTTGACAAAGTATGTCCATCATAAAAACCATCTTAATGATTTCAGGGCTGGTGGTGTGGTTCAGTGGTAAACTGCTTGCCTAGCTTGTATAGGGCTGGAGTTTCCATTTCGAGTAACACCAAGAACAAAACCTCAAGGTGGAGTAGTGAATACCCCTCATCCCTGCACTCCGGAGGCGGAGAGAGGAAAACCAGCTTGGGTTACAGCAAAAGAAGATTATACAATTCAGTGACATTAAGAATTCGCAATTTGTGCAGCTGCCACCACTGTTTTAAAAATGTTTTTATTTTCCCAAATCGAAATGCTATTCTTCAATTATAACTCCCAGCTGTCTCTTGCCCCAAGGCCCAGGTAACTGTCTCAGTGAACTCGATTTCCCTGAGTACAGTTTGTCCTTTATGACTGTCTATCTCAGTTAGCATAGTGTTGTAAAGATTCATTTATACTGATCGTAGCATGTTTCAAGATTCTTTCTTACTTTATACCAGGCTTTCACTGTGCAACCCTTTGAGGCTGTTTATCTTAGTGCTGGGAAGTGTAGCGCAGTCATAGAACTCAAGCCGGAATGTGGGAGCCCCTGGGTTCAACCTTTAACAACTGGGAACCCTCCTCATTTCAAGACTTGTAGCTTAGCCACATCTGCAAAATTTTTGTTGCTATCTGAGATTACATGCCCCCAGGTTAGGGATCAGGATAGACTTTTTGGAGTGGCCGGCATTGGTCTGCCTACCATTGTCTTTTTGGAGCTTGTAGACATATGTGTGCCAGACTTTCGCAGAGTTCCTTCTGTGTCTTATCATCTATATATTTTTCATCTTTTAAATTCTGTTGTCTTGTTTGTCCTCTAGAACCCAGGTCACACACATGGTAGGCAAATGCGCTATCACTGGACTATATCCCTGCCCTTAACTCTCCATCTTTAAACTTTGGTTGGTTGGTTTTGTTGGTAGGTCTCTTGAACCCCAGGGTGGCCTTGCGCTCACTGTATAGTTGAGAATGACTTTGAACTTTTGATCTTCTTGTCTTTACTTTCCACGTGGGATTACGTTTGTGTGCCATCAAGGCTGGCTTGTTTGTGTGATTTTGCTTTGAGACAAGATCTCGCTATATAGTCTAGGCTGGCCTCAAACTCCCCATTGTACTTCCTTACCCTCGCAGACATCTGAGACACAGTGTGTGCCACCATGCCCAACTCTTTTTTTTCTTTTTGGTTTTTTTTAGAGATAGGGTTTCTTTCTTTCAGGATTAGCCTTGGCTAACCTGAACTTGCTTTGTAGACCAGGCTGGCCTCAAACTCAGCAATCCACCTGCCTCTGCCTCCCAGAGTGCTGGGATTAGAGGCATGTGCCACCATGCTCAGCTTGTTTTTGTTTTGAGACAGGGTCTCACCACGTAGCTTTAGTTGGTCCAGAGTTCAATATATAGACCAGAATGGCTTCAAATTCACAGAAATATGCCTGCCTCTGCTTCCTAGGTACTAGGACTGAAGGCATTCACCCCCACACCTGGCTACTTATTTTTTTTGAGATTGGCTACTTAGTTTTTGAGATGGCCTGAAACTCACCATGTAACCAGACTGGTCTTAAAATCATGACAGTCCTCTTGTCTAAGTCTCCCAAATGCTGAGATTATAAATCTGAGCCACTGTCAAGCTTTCTTTATTCTGTTGAAGTGCTGCAGAAGTATCTACAGAAAAGTACATATGTTAAAAGTACATAGCTTGTAGGGTTGCCCCAAACCCAGCACATCCAGGTAGCCAGCATTCACAACTGGAAGCATGCTATAGAACTGGGAGGGGAGCTCACTGATAACAGCATTTGTCCTGCATGGATAAGGACCTGGGTTTGCTCTCCAGCTCTGCAGAAGACAGAGGATAATATCTGCGTTAGGAACCTCAGTGCTCCTCTGATTTCCCCACGAGCACCCACACACCACATAAAGGCACCATTCTGCCTGTGTTTTTCTTTTATACAAATGAGATCGTACAGAACATGCTTTGTGCATGTGCCCAGTTTCTCTTAAATTGTGTTTAAATGACTCATTGATAAGATGCTTCTTGGTTAACTCATCCGTTGTGCCTGCTTGGTCTTAATTTTGTTGTATGTGGTCTTTGAATGTATCTATAGTTTTTCAATGTATTTATTGGAAAGAGTTAGGTGTGAGAGGTGGCATCATTTTTCAAAGAGGAGTTTGTCTCTCATTCCTGGGGTGAAGAAGTCTGCCCCACCCTCAGTGTCTCTGAAGTCCAGGCTGGTTTGGAACTTGCAGTACTCCTGCCTAAGACTATAGGTAGGTACCTACAGGAGACTCTTTCCTTCCTTCCTTCCTTCCTTCCTTCCTTCCTTCCTTCCTTCCTTCCTTCCTTCCTTCCTTCCTTCCTTCCTTCCTTCCTTCCTTCCTTCCTTCCGTGTTGGCTGTCCTGGACTTGCTTTGTAGACCAGACTACAAAGATCTGCCTGCCTCTGCCTTCCCCGAGCGCTGGGATTACAGGTGTGCGCCACCACTGCTACCACTCTCTGAGTTTCTGAGCTTTGCCTGCCACCTACATGCTACAGCCCATGTTGCAAAGAACAGCCTTGGGCCAGGCCTTCCAAACCCAAACAACAGCACTGCTCAAGGCCTTCAGGAAGGTCCTGCGTGAAGTGGTCACCTCTCATTGCAGGCAGGCAGGCAGGCAGGTAGGCAGGCAGGCAGGCAGGCAAAGCAGGGGTCATGTGACCTGCACACACACACACACACACACACACACACACACACACACACACACCCCGCTATGCCGGATTACTTGTCTTTTATTCTCTTTTCATTGTAGCCTAATCCAGTGGTTTGAGACAGCACCAAGTCGGACCTGCCCACAGTGTAGGATCCAGGTAAGGATGATGGAGTGGAAGTACTGCAGCTGAAGACTTCCACCTTCCAGAAAGCAGGGATGGGGAAGACAACTGTGAAATAGAAGTACTATGACCTTTTAGCCCTCTTGTCTTGAGGTCAGTTGATCTCACAAATGTCTGTCACTCAGGAGGCCTGCTTACACCCTGTGGGTGGCTGGGAGATTGACTTTCCCATCCAGTCTTCATTTGTATACATTTAGCCTCCTTTAATGTTTAGCAACTGTCCCCATGCATAGACATGACTTCAGCCCCCAGCAGACCAGCAGGCCTGATTGTGTTTATGTGTAGGAACGAGGAAGTCCTCTGATTCAGAAGGACGTGTGCTGAACAGTTAGGCCTGAGAGCAGACCTAGGACATGTGGCAGGCAGTCAAACCCACTTCAGTCCTTCCTCCTTGACTTGGACCACGCCCCATCAAAGTTCTCTGTCTTGTTCTCCCATCTAGGTTGGCAAAAAGACCATTATCAATAAGCTTTTCTTTGACCTTGCCCAGGAAGAGGAGAGTGTCTTGGATGCAGAATTCTTGAAGGTACCCAGAATTTATCTCATTCTACTAAATTTTGAACCCTCTTGAGAGTTCACTTTTCATTTTTGCTCAGAAAAAGTGCCACTGGGTGTGGTGGCGCATGCCTTTAGTCCTAGCACTCGGGAGGCAGAGGCAGGCAGATCTCTGTGGGTTCAAGGCCAGCCTGGTCTACAAAGCAAGTGTAGGGCATCCAGGGCTGTTACACAGAGAAACCCAAAGAAAAGAAACACAAAGAAAGGGTACCTAGAGTGTGGATGGAGTTAGGGCTGTGCAGCAAAGACTTGGTAGAGCTATCAAGGTGAGGGGGCAGGTGACTTTGAGAAAATCATCAGGGGCATATACTGTAAGAGAGGGACCAAGTGACTAGGGGACGTCCCCTTGGGCTTTCAGGGCTATTTGGACCGAAGGACAGAACTCTTCTTTTGAGACTGTCACCTTATGAAGGATTTATGCCCTTCCTGCCCAGCACACTTTCTTGTTGGACAGTTAGTGACAGGTTAGAAAATTCTTCTCATCAGTCAGGGAGGATGTGTGAACCCACCATTCCCTAACCTGGCTGGGCCTCAAAATTGCCTGGAGAACATAGTATAAAAGGTACATGCTTGGGCTTTTCCAAGCCCAGCCATAGGTGGCATAGCCCCTGGAATCAGGATTTCTAGCCCATGTGGAAAGCAAGGCTACAGGGGAGGGTAACCAGGTTCATGTCTGTGCTTCTCCCGTTTCTCCTCCATATCTAAAATTCCCTTCCTTTTTGTGTGTGGGAGCTAGACTGGCAGCATGTCTTAGTGAGGTTGGTTTGGGGTTTGCCCGTGATTGCTGGACTCTAAGAGTTAATCTGCTGAGAATCTGATAGATTACAGCTCATTTGACCTCAGCCCCCTGGGTGTTGTGATGTCCTTGGAGCCTCCTTGTTTCAAGATGGTTGAGCTCTTGTGTTTGGAGCCAGCCTGTTCATCGTCATGGTAACTGCTCCCAGTTTTAAGAGGTGTCCTCCCTGTGATGAAGACAACAAAGGCAGCTTCCAGTCTTTTCTTCAGCTTTTAAAGCCAAGCCTATGAGACAGGGAGGGAGGCAGCATCTTGAATAGTTTGGAGCAAGGACTTTGAAGGCATCCTGCTGAGGCCTGGAAGGGGCCAGGAGACTATGGGGTGTCTGGTCTCAGGTGGACCCTGCCTTACCTATCTACCATTTCCATTCCCAGTTATTTGATTGACACTGTCCAGCCCAGCCACCAGGAGCTCTTGCTCCCAGAGTTCTGGGCAGAGGGGTTGGAGGTTGGGGGCGGGGGTTGCTTACTAATGGTAACACATGGACCTTTGAATCTTCTGTTAACCTTCAAGGGGTGATATGGAAGAAAGTCTACCGGATTCTTACACAAAGGACCCTTGCCTAAGCCTGGAAGTGTGTGTAAAAACTTTGTTTTTCTGACTGTGGCTATACACATCCCCTTTGCTCACAAGAACACTGAGTTCTCTAGACTCCTAAGTGGGAGCTGGATTCACTTCTACCCCAGCCTCTTAGAGCCAGTCTGGAGCTTGGAGGGAGGTAGACTGAGATAGGCAAGGCCCAAGACGGAGAGAACTGGTGGTGGTTCAGAGTGCTTGGCCATCCCAGTTCTGTGTCCCGGGTGAGCACAGCTGAAGCTCTGAGAGCATAAGGCTCCTGCAGTCCCAGGAGCCCTGGAAGCCTGTGCTGTTGACCAACCATCAAGCATCACTTCCTGTGGGATTCATTTCCTGCATCTTACCTAGCCTGTTAAATGGCTCAGAAAGGGACTAGAGAGATGGCTCAGCATTTATGAGTGCTGGCTGTTCTTCAAATAACAGGATTTGATTCCTAGTACCTACACAGTGACTTTCAGGGAGTCTCACACCTTATGGCCTCAGCAGACAATGTGAATACACTGTGCACTGACATAAATGCAGACAAAATACTGACACACATAATATATATATATATATATATAAGATTTATGCATTCTATGCGTATGAGGCTCTTTATGTATGTATGCCTGCAGGCCAGAAGAGGGCACTGGATCTCATTATAGATGGTTATGAGCCACCATGTGCTTTCAGGGAATTGACCTTGCGACCTCTGGAAGAGAAGCCAGCACTTTTAATTGCTGAACTATCTCTTTGGGCCCAAAATAAAGAAATCTTAAAAAAATAAAAAAGAGGGCTGGAGAGATGGCTCAGAAGTTAAGAGCACTGGCTGTTCTTCCAAAGGTCCTGAGTTCAATTCCCAGTAACCACATGGTGGCTCCCAACCATCTATAATGAGATCTGGTGCCTTCCTCCAGGACTCAGGCACACATGGAGGCAGAAAACTGTATAAATAATAAATAAATAAACCTTTTAAAAGAAGAAAGAAAATGTCCCATACCAGGCATGGTGACACATGCTTTTAATCCTTGTGCTATGGAGGTAGAGACAGGTGGATTTCTGTGAGTTTAAAGCCAGCCTGAGCTACCTAGTGACAGTCTGTTTCAAAACAAACAAACAAAAAGACCCACAGACATAAAATAATGTGCATGTCTCTGTTGGCTTGGCCTTGAAGTATATTGGGTCTACATAGCCTTATGGGAGGCCTAATGGAGGCTGGCTGTAACGTGCTCCTGTGACTTATTTTGTGTATTTTGCAGAATGAACTGGATAATATCAGAGCCCAGCTTTCCCAGAAAGGTAAGTTATCAAGAGACAAGAGGCCCTGGTGCCCCTGACTTGGGTGTTAGAGGGAGGGAGCCTAAGGGGAGGGCCTCTGACCTCTGGCAAAGCCAGGGGCTCTTCCTGCTTTGTATGTCCAAGAGTCTTGCTAGCTCTTATAGCTAGCCAAAAAGGAGAGTAGAGGTGACTGAAGCTGTCTGTGTAGGCCGGCATTGCCTCTTTCCCGCTGTTTGGAACTTCTTGCCCAGGAGCAGTTTGGGGAGGGTCCTACCCAATGAGTTTGTATCTTCAGGCCTCAGCTGCTGAGTTAGGCAGGGATTTGCTTGGGTTCTGGAATGATGAATTAACTAGACCCACAGGAGAGGGGCCAACAGTGACAGCTACCCAAATAGTTGAAGCAGAAGAATGGAGAGCTTGTCTCCTCAGGGGAAGCTCTTGGGGTGAGCTGCTTGAATTTGGGGGCCTAGGTGCTCATGTGTGGTTGGACCTTTGTCTTGCTCCCCTCTGCCCCTGCTCCAGAGAGGGAGAAGAGGGACAGCCAGGCTATTATTGACACACTACGGGACACATTGGAAGAACGCAATGCCACAGTGGAGTCCCTGCAGAATGCTTTAGGCAAGGCAGAGATGCTGTGTTCCAGTCTTAAAGTAAGTCCTGAGGGTCAGCGGGAGGTACAGCCACAGTCCTGGCTCACTTTTTTTTTTTTTTTAATAGAATGTCTCACTATAACCCTGGCTGACTTAGAACACAGTGATCCACCTGCCCCTGCATCCCCAAGGGCAGGGATTAAAAGGCATGCACCACCATGCCCAGCCTAGGCTCACATTTCTACCTCAACCACTTTATATTTATACAGTGGTAAAATGAAGGCAAATCTCTTCTTCCCGAGGTCCTTGTGTACCGTACCCACCTAGCCCGTAAGAAAAGGGGCTATAATGGCTGTGCTTGTGGATTTTGTACCAGGTAACAAGGCCTTCACAACACTTCACAGAGGGCCTGCTCAACGGAGACCTGAGTAGGCTGGGCCATGTTTCCAAAAGTGGCTCATCGTCCGCTGAGGAGGCCCGTCTGAAGAATCTTCCATTAGGACTCCAGTCCTTGGCGGGGCTGCTCTCTGGAGCCAGATCAAACAGCATCCTAGGGAGGAGCAAAGGCCTTTGAAGTCCGCTGTGCTGAGCTGACCGAGCAGATCAAAGCCTGTAGAGCAAGCAGCCCTAGACCCAGATGAATTTTGTATCAGCCTGAGTTCGTGAGCCTCTTGCTCTCCGAGGGCCATGAGATGATTGATCTGAACTCACGATTGATATTCTAGCCTGGTAGGCAGGAGCAGCCTTTGCTGGGCGCCAGTCTCATGAACAGACAAGGCCCTAGGATATTCGTTTTCTCTTCCTGCTTTGAGGCTGAGCTGAATCACATGGCCTAGCCAGTGGGAGGGAGCAAACTAGTGCCAGATTGCAGAACAATCGCTGATGGCATCCTCAGGTCAGAGATGGCATGGTCTCATGCTGAGGACAGCTCCTGGCTTGGTTCTTCTATCCCGGCACTGTAAGCATGTACCATGAGACCAAGACCACAGAACCTTCGCCGCCCACAGTGGGCCTGAGCCGCTGAGCTGTGCCTATAGTAAGGCATATCTCCAGAGGCGAGGAAGCAGCTGCTGTAAAGTCTCTTAGCAAAAGAAGCATAGGCCAAGCGAGAGCTGTAGTTCAAAGCCTGCGTTGAATTCCCAGCACTTCACACACACAGCACAGAGAATAGGTCAGCATGAGGGGCCCTCCTCCTGCTGTTTAAAAATATGTGTTTATCAACATCTTTAAAAGATAGACAAGTATGGAGAGGTACACTTCTATCATGCCAGCATTTGGGAAGTAGAGGCAGAAATATCAGGGGTTCGTGATCATCCTTGACTACATAGTGAGTTTAAGCCCAACCTAGGGTATCTGGTGAAACCCTGTCCAAAACCAAAACCAACCAGATAAAAGCTACAGGTACAGATAGCTCTCAGTGGCCATGGCTGAGAAGCACCAAGAAGATGTATGGGTGTGCTTGCTGTTCAGAAGCAGATGAAATTCCTGGAGCAGCAGCAGGATGAGACCAAACAAGCCCAGGAGGAGGCCCGCCGACTCAAGAGCAAGATGAAAACCATGGAGCGGTGAGTTTGTAGCAGATTTCTGTACTGTGCGTTCACACCCTGGGTCCCTGGAGGAGGGGCTGTAATCCTTGGGACTGCAGCTGAAAATGGGTTTTGTTAACCTTTTGACTCAGATTTCCAGGTGCATATGGGCACAGATTTTCTTTCTCATCCTCTGTGGCCCTTCCCTTATGGGTACTCTTGCTATACTCCCTGTCTGCTTACCTATGGATAGATGGCCTGTCATGCCTTTCTCCCCAGGAGCCTCTCCCCATGAAGTCCCTGACCTTGAAGTCCTCTGTTAGCACCTCTTTTTCCTCAGAAGCATCCCTGGAGCTGAGCTCAGCTCAGCTCAGCTCTGCTGTGGAACCTTTCCTTGGGCACACCCACCTGCTAAAGCATCCTAGCAGCCCAGGCTGTTGCCATAGTAACAGCAGCAAAGGGAGGCAGACTAACCATCAGCCTCCAGATTTCAAATGCCGTGGGCCGGGAAATGTTTTTCAGAATTGAGCTCCTGCTCCAGAGCCAGCGGTCTGAGGTGGAGGAGATGATCCGAGACATGGGCGTGGGACAGTCAGCGCTGGAGCAGTTGGCAGTGTACTGCATCTCCCTCAAGAAGTACGTGAGCTGAGGAACTGGACAGCGAGCCCCCAGTCACATCTATGCTGTTGTCTTTTGTAAAGCAGACGATGTAAAGGAGCATATTCTAGACCCATACTGTCATGGGGTGAACTCCAACTCTTAGGTCACCTCGAAAGCCTCTCTGACCCCCACTTCCCTGCATGGAGACAGACTTGGCTTAGAATTGTAGAGAGAACAGAGTATGAATTCTAAGTGTCATTTCTGAGGAGCTCATGCGGCCCTGAGCGGTGAGCTCCCTCATGATGTCTGGAGTCTATTTCCCATCACCACCATATCTGACCCTGTCTGACTTCTATCGGAAACTGCCCATATTCTTCATTAGGGTGATATGAAGTTGGGAGAAAGGCGCCACTTGACTGAAAGGCAAGAAAATCTAAAATGCCTTCATTTGGGGGTGTAGGGAGCCCCCTAGTGAGGCTGGATCTTCTTGCATACTCTCTCAAGTCACAGTTCCTGCAGGTGACAGAGAGACCTGTTTTTATTTCTCTACCTCATTAGATATGCAGGGCCTGTCATGAGAGAGTAAGGAGGATCTAAGGGTTGGATAAGGGCTTCGTTAGGTTGGTGCTAGGGATTCAGGCTATTCTGTTCTGTCACCTCTTCTCATGGCCGCTTGGCAGAGAATATGAGAATCTGAAAGAAGCTCGGAAGGCCGCAGGGGAGCTGGCTGACAAGCTGAAGAAGGACTTGATTTCCTCTAGGAGCAAGGTAACTGAATGGGACCAAAGGGCAAAGAAGGAGACTTGGTTTCTCTTTGGTTGCGCTCACCTAAGTTAGGCCATCCAACCTGACCCCACTGGGCTAGAAAAGGTGGCCTACAGACACAAATTCCTGATCTTTACTGTGCATTGTCTCTGACTGGCTTGTCCACTTGGGAGGTTAATTCATGGAGATCTGCCCCCACCACACTTACGCTACCTTTTGCTCTTCTTGGTTCCTAGATACATGTTAGCTGGTTTATTTGTGTGGCAACTCCAGAAGCCTGTTTTGTACCCCATCCCAAAATCAAGGGTTCTTGGGCCGGCTGCTTTTGCCTTCTGTGGGCTGCAATGTATAGCAAGAAGTGCTTGCCCTCCGTATATATGCCTAGTTGAGGCCAGCTAGCCCCAGAGGTCTGTGGTCTCTCCCGTGCCTCCACTTTCTTCTAGCCTCTAACTCAGCCATACGCTGGGTAGCTGCAGTAGGGGCAGGACATGCGGCACCACTGGCTTATCCTTTCTTGTAGTTGAAGACTGTCTGCACTGAGCTGGATCAGGCCAAGTTAGAACTGAAGTCAGCCCAGAAGGACTTACAGAGTGCTGACAAGGAAATCACGGTGAGACATCCTGGCCTGATGAGAAGTAAGGGGACATGAGGGGTTGCTTATGTGCCTTCAAGAGTAGGGCTGAGCTGTTTCTGCCTGGGAACCTGGGTCCCAGTCAGTGGTGGTGGTCCTAGGCTCTCCCTAGCCTCCTGGGTCTGGGAGGTGGGTCAGGGCTGTGCACCCTGAGCCTGGTCTGGCCTCCAGCCTGTGCCTCCTCAGCAGAAGGCCAAGAGCACCATGGATCTTCCTTTATGATCTGCACAGTTCTTACTTCCAAGGTTTCTAATCACCAGAGCGAGGACTGTACAAAGGAGGGGTTCTGAGGCCGGGTGTTGGGCGTTCAGTCCTCACTCTGTTCCCAGTACCCTTCACACAGGCATTTGTCCTCAGTGCCTCAGTAGTGTTCTCAAACGTTCTCTCTCCAGAGCCTAAGAAAGAAGCTAACGATGTTGCAGGGAACCTTGAACCTGCCTCCAGTGTCCAGTGAGACTGTCAGCCGCCTGGTTTTTGAGAGGTTTGTTCCCCTTCCGGCCAGGCTCTGTCTAACTGGAAAGCAGCTTTGAGAGAATTTGAGATCTGACAAGGAAAGGCAGAAAAAGCCTTTGAGTAGTGTGAGGATGGGGCAGGAGTGGTAGCTGTCTTGGGGTTTCCTGGAGCTTCTCACCGCATGCATCTGCCCGCCCCCATTTCTGAAACAAACTTGGCAAGTGCTCTCACTCTAAAATTACTCCCTCTCAGCCTGGTGCTGGTGGTTCATGCCTTTAATCTCAGCATTTAGGTGGCAGAGGCAGGCAGATTTCTGTGAGTTTGAAGCCAGCCTGGTCTACAGAGTTCCTGGACTGCAAGAGTCCAAAATAAATGAATAAAATTGCCCCCTCTGGTTCAGGAGTATGTGCTTTAAGGTTGCCAGCAGAGGGAGCCAAAAGACTCAGTGATTGGTGTCCCTGCCATGAGCAAGTGTTACTCTTCCTGAGTGATTTCCAGGGAAACAGGCTGGCTAAGAATACCCTCAAGGCTGTCTTCTGCCTGCTAGAGGACCTCAGCAGGAGCCAAATTAAAACCTCCTGTCCTTCACTCAGAGTTTTACTTAAGCCATTTGTTCCCCCCCACACACACACACCAAGCAGGCTTTCTCTATGTAGCCTTGGCTATCCTGGACTCATTTCAATCTGCCTGCCTCTGCCTCCCAGAATGCTGGGACTACATGTGTGCATCACCACACCCAGCTACTTAAGCCACTTTTCAACATATTTTGGCAAAATCCATATGTCCCTTCTTTCTGCCTGTGAAATTCACTCACTCAGTATTTTCTAGGACTGTACCTTGTTCCTGGGCACTGTGCCCTCTGACTTTCCACAGCTCAGATTCTCTCTCTTTTTTTTTTTTTTTTTTTTTTTTTTTGTCTGAGACAGTGTTTCTCTTTGTAGCCTTGGCTGTCCTGGACTTGTTTTGTAGACCAGGCTGGTCTCGAACTCACAAAGAACTACCTGCCTCTGCCTCCCTGAGTGCTGGGATTACAGACTTGTGCCACACCTGGCTCACCTCTCAGATTTTTAATACTGTATGTTGGGATATTCGCAGAGCTAGCCTAGCTTAGATTTAAGTTCTTAGGGTCCTGCAGTGTCACAGCCAACCATAAAAGAACATTTCTTTTCTTCCTACTTTCACCTTTGCTTCTGTTGTTTTCTTCACTAAAGATTCTGTTGTTCTGGCCAGTCTTCTCAGCCAGATAGTGTTGAGAACAAGCAAAAGAACAAAACAAAAAACCTTATTCTAAGTATTGCCATTTCATTTTCAGACTCCGTTTAATCTTAGGGAGAAGGGTCCACTCAGATCCGACATAACTCATAGCACTTGAAGAATCTCTGTTTATGTGTGTGTGTGTACATGCATACATATATATGTATGAGTGTGTGTGCATATGGAAGTCAGAGCACAATATTGTGGAGTCATTTTTCTCCTTTTACCTGTGTCAAGGGGATCTCCCTAAAGTTGCCAGACGTGTGGAGCAGGCATCCTTCCTCACTGAGCCATCTCACCAGCTCTTATTCTTTTTCCTCAGCATCTCTCTGTAGAGCCAAAATTACCTGCCTGTTCTAGTTTAGGTTGAGCTGAGGCCTGTGGGACTATAGTGGACACATGATCTGCCATGAGGTCCAACAGTGGGTTGATTTTGACAACGAAGTAGGCTCTGTTCCTTATCCTTTCTCCCACCACACCCAGCCATCGGCCATGCCTTCTCTGAAGTCCTGTGTAACATGAGGGCCTTGTCAAGAGCTTAAAAAGGTATAATAGGGGAAATGACAGTCTCAGAAGCCATACCCTGTATAAAAAAAAAAAAAAACAAAAAACAAAAAAAAAAACAAACCTTAGAGCCCAGGCTGCCTCCTCAAGGCTGGGAGTACAAAATCATTCTCTAGAGCACCCACAGCCCCTGATGGCCCCTCTAGCTTCTATCTCGTGAAGCTCAGTGTCTTTCCACACAGCTGTCCTCCGTGCCTGGCGTTTGTAGTGAGGAAAACACAAGCACATGGGCCACCGCTCAGTTCCCAGGGACTTTTCATACCTGCTTTTGCTAATTTTCTTTACTATCCAAGCTTCTCTGGGCCTCATGCTCCTATAATAGGTATTGAGTGCCAGCTGCAGCCAGACCCTTCCCCATCCTCTTGAGCCTTGTTTTAGTAGGCTAGGTTAGCAGGGGAGGGGGAGGATGATTAAGGCCAGAGCCCACCACATATGCACTGGATTATAGACTCTGGAACTCTCCTTTGTCCTCAGAAAGCTTTGTGCCAGGCCTGCATCCTACCTTGGCGCTGAGTGGACAATTCTGATCTCTCAAGTCAGGAGGACACTACATTAGTCAAACCTGGGCTGCCCATCAAGTTAGATGCAGGATGACTGAATTCCCTTCCTCCAGCAGCGTTTTTTTAGGCATGAAAACTTGGGTATAGGACCATTGCATTTAGCATTAGCCCTTTTTACTTGGCATAGTGTATCCTGAATTCCACATTCTCTCTTAGGGCCCCAAGATCTCAAAACCACTCTTGCTCCTCGGGGGCAGCCTTTCCAGTTTTCTCTGAACTGCAAGTGCCTCCACCTTTCTCCCTTTAGAACTAACTTGTTGCTGTGTGGTTTGGAAAGAATCTTAAACTTTCCTAATGTATTTGAAATGTATGGACACATTCATGAAACCACCATTTAAATCTGAAGAAAGAGAAATCCAGGCAGAGAGGATGGCAATTTCAAAGTCCCAGGGGCACTGCTAAGGTGGGCCAGATCTCTGTCAGCCTTGTAGGTGGAGATTTTATCCTAAGAACAGTAGAAACTGTTGGAAATGTTTCTGGAAGGTAGCTCTGAGGGCCAGCTCATGTCTCTCATTGTCATCTATCTACTAATGATGCCTTGAACTGTTGTCAGACTTGCTTAAGGCCTCAGGCTCCATGCTGGCCATGCTGTTGGTATTATGTGGAAGGCTCCGAGTGTCACTGTTGATCCTGTCCCATTTGTTGTCATGGGATTACCCTTTGCTTCTTTTTAAATCTTTTTAAGATTTACTTTTTTATACAGGTGTTTTGCATGTATGTCTGCATACCAAAACAGGGCCTCAATCAGATCAGCTGCCATGTAGTTGCTGGGAATTAAACTCAGAACCTCTGGAAGAGCAGCCCAGTGCTCTGAACCTCTGAGCCATCTCTCCAGCCGTCATTTTATTTTATTATATTATCTTCTTTTGTGAGGCAGGGTCTCATATAACGCGGGCTGTTTCAAACTCACTATGTAGCTGAATATGACCTTGAACTCCTTATCTATATCCTGAGTGCTAGGATTACAATCATGTACTACCACATCTGATATATGCAGAGCTGGGATTGAATCCAGGGCCTCATGTATGCTAGGCTAGCACTGTACCATCTGAGCCACATCCCCAGCCATGCCTCTGTTATTTTAGGGTAGCCTTGGGAAGTGGCCCTGCCTCTAACCTTGCCAGACCTGGCCTTGCTTTTCAGCTTGTGAGGTCCGAGGAAAACCTAGAAGGGGTGGGGCCGGCTGCAAGGGACTCTTGCTCTTCTTTCAGGAGTTTTGCAAAGCTGCACCACAGCCCTTTGCCCACTGGGATGCAAATCAGAGGAAAGGGTGCTATAGGTGAGGTGCTAGGAAGACATCTCTAGTGAGACCTAAGGGTTCCTAAGGGCTGGTGAGATCCAGGGAGACCTTCATTTGAGGTAGGACTGATAGGAGCTGAGTTCGTGTAGGAGGTGTTGACAACTCTGTGCCACACAGGTAACACATCTGCCTAGGGCTTTGGCCCTAGCTTAGAGCCAAAGAGAGGAGGGATTTGAGTGTCTTGCCTCATTTCCTGAGGCCCCTGACATGAAGCTGTGTAAGTTGGCCATAGGTGAGTATCTCAGAGGTGACAGAATCACTCAGAGTGCCTCAAGCCAAGCCTGTACTGCAGTGAAGGAAAAACCACAGAATCCTACGTTTCTGGAGGAGAGGGTATCCCAACTCACGTGATTGTACATGCATATATAGGTCTTGTTTGTTTGTTTGTTTGTTTGTTTGAGAGAAATCTCTCTGGCTGTCCTGGAACTTACTGTAGATCAGGCTGTCCTCAAGTTCACAGTCCACCTTGCCGCTGCTGGGATTAGAGGTGTGTGCCATAGTGCCTGGCTTATACATGCATGTATTTTTTATATTCTCTTTTTCTCTTTCAGGCAGTTTTGATATATAGTGATATATAGCTTAGGTTGGCCTCAAACTCATGTAGCCCATTCTGGCTTTGAACTCATGATCTTCTTTCCTGAGATCCTAGGTGTGTGACATTCCACCCAGCCTCTGTATTGCTTTTAATTGACTATATGAGTATTTTTCTATGTTACTAAAGTTACTCTTGAGTACCACATAGTGTCTTCATCCTTGTCATCTCCTGAAGTGCCAAACCACTATCACAGCATTTGCTGTGATAAACAGCCACATCTTCCCATCTGTATCACTCTGTGGTAGCATGTGAGAATGGCTTCTTGTACTGAATTCTGAGAAAGGCGTATGTGTGGTCAAAGGGAAATAGCCCATTCATTTGGTTTAGCATTTCCCCCTGCATTTATTATAAGCCTTAGTGCATGTACCACATGTACAGGTCAGAAGATAACCTGGGGTCAGTTTTCTTCTAGCATATGGGTCTTGGGGATCAGCTCAGGTTGTTGGCCTTTACCCACTGAGCCACCTCACCAGCCTCTTTTTTGAGTTTTGTTCTAGTTTTCCTTACTTCCTTCTTTTTCCAGATTTTCAGTGGTTACATAGCTATGCAAAGGCTGAAGTTTTTTGGTTAGGCCTCTCTCTAGGATGACCCTGAGTCGGGTTGGCATTAGGATCCCCTGGAGTTGACTGTCTCTTTCTTCCTTTTCCTCCTCTTTTGTTTCTTTTTTTTTTTTTTTAACACTTTTATGTGTGTGTGTGAGAGTATGTACGCGTGCGCGTTTGTGCATAGATGTGTTTTGATGAATGTGTGCTACAACATGCATGTGGTATCAGAGGACAACTGGAGGGATTCATTTTTCTCCATCCACCTTGTTGATGCCAAGAACTGAACTTGGGGCTTCAGGCTTGGAAACAGTTGTCTTTCCCAGCTGAGACAAATCGCTGGGCCAAGCTGAGTTGCCTCTGATCCTTGAGCTGTGATCTTTCTGGGTTGTCACTGCAGTCCCAAGTAGTGAGATTGTCTCTACCCTCAGCCCAGCCCCTGTGGAGATGCTGAATCCGAAGCTCCACCGGCCGTCCTTCAGTGATGAGATTGACCTCAATGCTACTTTTGATGTAAAAACCCCTCCAGCCCAAACGCCCAGCTCCCAGCACAGCCACCCCAAGAAGCTGGAGAGGACACAGTGAGTATTGGTCCCTGGCGGTGCCCAGAACCTGGCCGGGAGTGGCTAAGTCACCAGTGGGTCCTGCCCTGATAGCGCTAAGTGCCGGATGCAGCTGCTTAGGGTAGGACACAGCTTTGGCCCAGCTGCCTCTTCCTTGGCCTGAGCGCTCATTCTGCGTACAGTCCTCCTGCTTGTCTCCTTAACCCTCATCACCCTCAAGATGATGTGTTGGGATTCGAGAGAGAACTCGTGAGTCCCGGCAGGGGAAATCTGGATGGGTGGTGAGGCAGGTGTTCCAATACTTTGAAAGCCTGCCAGAGTCCTGAGTGTGGGACTCCGAATTTTCCCAAGTACCTCCAAGGTCATGCTTAATGCAGGACCATCTCAAACCATGACCCTCCCGCCCAGGGAAATATCCCATTTAAGCAGACACGAAGACCTGTGTGGAGCTGTAAGGGGACACATGGGGCCTGCTCTAGATGTGCAGTGGAACTAGGAGGGGAGCCCATCTCCTTGACCAGGCACACCAGTGTAGTCACGGTGGAAATGACTGCCCCTTCATCTGCTTACATCTGTGGCACTCCAGTAAGGGAATTCTTTTCACATTTTAAAAAATTACATTTATTTTTGTGTATGTGAGGGGGACACATACCGTGATCAGAGGACAATTTGTAGGGTTGGTTCTTGTTTTGTTCCATGTAAGGACTAAAGATCAAAGTCATGTCCACAGGCTGAACCATCTCTCTGGTCCTAAGGAAAGCATAATGAGAGACTTCGAATATAAGACAAAGAAATTGTTATGTTAGGCAATGGCGTGAAAGAGAATGGAAGGGCGGACCAGCTGGGCATAACACCTGTGCTGCTGGAGGCTGGGCCTAGTAGCAGTGAGAAGTCTTGAGTCATGCTGGCTGCAGCAGAGCGCTTATGATGTTAGCTCTGCCCTCTGGCTTCCTTCAGTTGCTTCCTCTTCAACTGTCAATTGAGGTTCAGGTTCGGAATATAGTTCAGTGATAGAGTGCCTCCCATGGAAAGGGCCCTGAATTCAACCCCCAGTTCTACAAACAAGGAAGAAGGGAGAGGACAAAGAGAAAAATGATGATTATAGGCACATGGGGTCGTCAAGCTAATAGACACTTCCACCATCTTCAGCGATTGTGAGGGAGCACAGAACACCCCTAACCTGGCTTTGCCTGATCAGAGCCAGACTTGTAATAGGTAGAGAGTCTCCTTATGGTCATCATGTGGGTTCACTACGGATTAGGGAAACTAGATCAGAGGTGTTCAGAGTCAGCAGGCCCTGCTCCTACCCCATCCTCATGGCTTGAGATGCTCCAGCCTCCTCTCTTAACTAGAAAAATGCCAGGAGAGAGTTTCTAGCTGTGAGGGTCCCACGAGTTGGGTGGAAATAGTGTCCAGAATAGAATCCACAACCCAGCTCTTGTTCACTTCTGCTGCAGGCCCTTCTTGCAAGGGTCCTGTGGAAGTCTGGGAGTGCTCTGCAGGCCGCATTGCCAGGTCTTACTGAGGCTTTTGTGGAGGTGGTGTCTCTAACCCCCAAACAGACAGGATGGGGCCTGAGCTCATTTGATAGCTTCTGCCTTTAAGAGGCTGTGAATGCATGTCCTCCTGCGCATAGTAAGTTGGCTGGGCTCCCTAGGCTAGGTAGAGACTAGAACATGTGAAGACCCCAAGAACGTGGGGAACATTAAAATGAAACCACAAACTGGGCCATGGTCCCATCCACCCTGACTCTGACACAATTCTTCTCAGTTATTCACAGACTTGTACTTGGGGTAGAGGTACTTTGCCCAAAGCATAGCCATGATGGCAGCCATGCCACACAGTGGGTCCTTTAAAGGACATGTGCCAAGTCTGGCCCTCTTCTTGATTACTTGCCTCTTGCCTTCATGTCTCACACTCTTACAGCTCTCCTGTGGAGGACGTCCTCAAGAAGATACCCAAAGTCTCCAAGCAGGTAAGGGCCAGGGGTTCCTCGAATACACACAAGCAGTCACATAGTCCTTGCCAGAACTGTCATGAAAAACCTATACTTCTAAACTGGGCATGGAGCCGGGCACAGTGCTGCACACCTGTAATCCCAGCACCCGGGGAGGCAGAGGCAGGCAGATCTCTGAGTTGGGGGCCAGCCTGGTCTACAAAGAGAGTGCAGGACAGCCAAGGCTACACAGATTTAAACCCTGTCTTGAAAAAACAAACAAGCAAAGAGAAAACTGGGCATGGTACTTCATGCCTGTAACCCAGCGTTCAGGAGGCAAAGGCAGGAGGACCCGCACGGTGAGTCAGGGCAGCCTGAGCTATAGTGAGGCCATCTCAAAACAAAACAAAGAAAAAGAAAAACTATTTCTGAGAGTGCAAACTAGGTTCAGGTTCCCTCCCCTGGCCCAGGACTAAGACTCTTCAGAGCCATACTTGGGATCTTCACTCATTGCCCTCTGCCCCCTGTCTGAGACATCAGATTTTCCTGAACTTCCACCCTCACTACCCTGTGTCCTGGGCTGCTGTCTGACTCTGGCACTACCCCAACAGGAGTTCCAGCTCTCACTGGGTGGTCAGCGCTGTGTAGGAGAGCCAGATGAGGAACTGACTGGTGGCTTCCCTGTCTTCATCCGGAATGCTGTCCGGGCCCAGAAACAACACAACAGGAGCACAGCGGAGTCCCGCTGCAGCACAGATGTGGTGAGTGTGGCGAGCATCCAGCCTCGGGTCAGCAGCTCCCTTTCCATTACTGACCCACTCATCTCTTCCTTCTGCCCTAGGTAAGAATAGGCTTTGATGGACTTGGAGGACGAACAAAATTTATCCAGCCTGTATCCTTTTTCTATGGGCATGGCCTGAGCTGAGCTTAGGAGCATACACCATGCCCTGACCCGAGTCTCCAGGCTCCTTGCTGCCAGTGTCTGCAACCTTAGATTGGCAGAGCTGCACCTTGTTGCTCAGGTGTCATTCCAGTCCCCACTCCATGCTTCTTCCTTGACATCGCTTCCAGACTGACACAGCCATTATCCGACCAATGCCTGTTAAGCCCAAAGCCAGGAATAAACAGAAAGTGAGAATAAAGACTATGAATTCTCCTTCCCAGCCCAAGCTGGATACCTTCATGCGTCAATGAACAGTGAACAGAGTCATGTCTCCAATTAGTAGGCCAAGACTTGGCTACCCAGAGAGTGTTTTAGAAGATGGCTCATCTTCTTGGACCAGTGCAGGAAGAGACACCCAGAAAATGCACTCCTGTGTCCTCTTTGCCCTGAAGCACACTGGATTGACCTCTGGGAGCTGACATGACCAGTTTACAGTTCTACTCAGCAGGGCCGGCTTCTTTTTGCCAGGTTTTGCTTACAGCTCCAACCAGATGTGGCTGGGTGCCTGTTTTTATAGAACACTCACTTTTGACTATATATGGATGGAAGTGCTGGAGGACTCCTAAGCGGGCTAGCCTGAACTTCTGCCTGCCTCCAGCTCATTGCTTGAAATGGGGAACAATAAGGGAAGGATGGGGAAGATTTCCATGTAAAATAAAAGGCATCTTTTTTTTCCAGGCTCTGGATGTATAAATTTGTACCAGGACTTTAGAAAATTGGTATGACTTTCTAAAGCAGGAGCATTACCAATGTTTATACCTAGTATCTCTATCTCCAGGAGTTATAGCGGGACATTTTAGACCTCCCTGCAGATGAAGAAGACATGGAGACTTATTTATAAAAGCCAAGGCACTATAGTTGGGCATGTTCTTAGCTATTCTAACCAGAAAATTATGGCCTGTGTCCCACTACATGGCCTGTTACCTCTCTCTTACTCAGTCCTAGCTCCTGTTTCTTCCTGTGTCACGCTGGCAAATGTCCTGCATCTGACTCTTCTCACAGAGACTCAGCCCAGAAGTCCTGCCTTCCCTTTTTCTGCCTAGATATTGCCCGTAGGCTCTTTATTAGGCCAATCAAAAGTTGAGGGAGGAAGAGAATTTACAAAATATGAGGCAGGTGATGAGCCATAAAAATAACAATACCAAAGTCTGGACAGTACTTGGCCCTCTGCTGGTTTAGCAATCAACAATTGTATATACAGAGACATCCTTCAACAGTGTACAAGATTACCCCAACAAGGCATGGCTCTCTCACAGGGCACAGGAAGACTAGCAAGAATGGCATCCCTGAAGTCTATAAGCTATGAGCAAAGTTAGTGATTGAACCCAGTGAGTTCTAGCAAGTACAACAGATAACCAGGATCCAAGCTGTTAGCTTGGCTTCAAGGCACTTTCTCAGAGAATTTCCCTTATTGGCCACTCACCTGGACAAGGCTTCCTAAGCTGCTTTCTGTGGTTATCGGACAGTTCACCTGTTTCCCTATCACGTCACCTGCTTCATGCTGACAACATCCAACCACTTGCTAGGAAATCTAGAGCCCAAAGCTGGGGTTGGAGATAGCCTTGGTTATGGGATGCTTAGCTCTGATTTTGACGCAATCTAGAATCGCTCGGGAAGGGCCTCTCAGTGAGGTCTAGGTTAGGCTGGTCTGTGGGCAGCTGTGGGGGTTTGCCTTGACTGTGTTAAAGATCAGCCTACTCTAAGTCGGCACTGTTCCCTACAGAAAGTACTGTGCGCAAGGATACAAGCACTCTCTGCTCTTAACTGAGTTGACCAGCTGCTCCACCTTCTGCCTTGACTTCCTGCAATGACTGACTGTACCCTGAAACTTTAAAACAAAAACAAAAAAATGTTCTCCCCTGAGTTGCGTTGTCAGGGTATTTTGTCACAGCAACAGGAAAGTTACTTAGTTATGGATACTGAACCACTTAGGGATGGCGTGAGCCAGAGCTTAGTGAGGGGAATTGCACCGTCTGGTTGGAAACATAGAGGCTGGTTGCTGAGTGGTCTTAGGTGAATCGTCCTCTCAGTGCTATCTGTGCAGCGGGGGCAATAGCACCACCCACCAGTGGTGGGAATCTAGGAAGTCAGGCTATAAGTTAAGAACTCAAGGTACATAAAAGAGAAGTGAGGTAGACAGCTACTCCAGTTCTGCTTACACCTTGTCTAGAATAAGTAAACTTGTAGAGACAAATATAATAGTGGTTAGGAGTGGGACCTGGAGAGTTACTGCTTACTGCTGACAGCTTCTGTCTGGGGTGATTAAAGACAAAGCAGTGGGGAGATTTAGAAATAGAAATATGGTTGTCCCATCCCCCCTGGGGAAAAAAAAGCCAACTATGACCTACAAAAGTACATGGAAAGATAACGTGTTTGTAGATCAGAAAGCTTAGTATTTGTGTTTGGTTTTGAATTATGTGTATATTCACATTAGTTTCGAGAAAGTTATTGTCAATTACATGAGTTCCAGGTCAGCCTGGATTACATGAGACTCTGTCCCTAAAACAACAACAAAATTTTAGAAGTAAGGCTGCGAGCTGGTACACCCCTATAATCCCAGCACTCTGGGAGGCAGAGGAAGGCAGATCTTTGAGGCTAGCCTGGTCTACAAAGTGAGTCCAGGACAGCCAAGGTCACACAGAGAAACCCTGTCTCGAAAAACAAAACAAAAAAATATGGCTGGGTATATAGCTCAGTCTATAGAATGCTTACCTTGCCCAGCATTATGTAATCTGAGTGTGGTGGGTCATGCCTGTAATACCAGCCCTTGGGAAGTAAAGGCAGAAGGATCAGAAATTCAAGGTCATCCTTGACTGTAACAAGCCAAACTGGATTATATGGGATCCCAAAAAACAAAAATAGGGGCTGGAGAGATGGCTCAGTGGTTAAGAGCACTGTCTGCTCTTCCAGAGGACCTGGGCTGCACTTCCAGAACCCATATGGCAGCTCACAGCTTCCCGGAAGTCCAGCCTCAGGGGATTCTACACCCTTTTCTGCCTTCCACAGGTATCGGGTACATATGGTACACATACATGCAGGCAAAGCAATCATACACATACAATTTTTAAAAAAATTAAACAATTATAGGGCCAGTGAGGTGGCTCAGAGAATTACTCATTGCTAAACTTGGTGAGTTCAGTCCCAAGTACCCAAGTGGTAAAAGGAAAAAAACTAACATCACAAATTATCATCTGACCTCCACATACTTACTGTAATCATAAAAAAAAAAAAAAAAAAAGCTGGGGCTAGGCTGGTCTACAGGGTTTCACAAAATAACCCTGTCTTGAAAAAAAGTCAACTCCTCAAAACACAATAAAATAAACAATAGCAAGATTGACCCAGAGGTGCTGGTTCAATGGTGGCAAGTCTGTTGTGGTAGTAGCCACTTCCTTATTGGAATTGAGGCTCATTCCGCAGGAGGAAATTCATGTCTAGTATTACAAACCTGGCCCAAAAGCAGTGATTGTTTTGCAAAAATAAACATGATGTACCCATATCATTGCCTTCCAATCATTCTATTAATGACCATGGAACAGGGCTGTGGTCAGCTTTTGTCAGACAAAGCTCTTTGTGGGTGGTGGTGACTGCAGACACTCATAACTGGTCAAAGTGTAGAGAATGCTCAGTCCTAAAAGAAACATGTATGTCAGCCCTATCCAAGGCTCAGGGAACAGCATGGGAAACAGGATGTGATAACGTTACAGCTAGTCTTTGTGGAACACTGTCTTCCGGCCATGACATGGCTGTTGCTCTCTTGAACTCATAGTAGTTCTGACCTTCACAAGGTCTGTACAAGATTTGGGCCTGTGAGCATTCTATCACGGAGGGGGCAGGGACTCACGAGGCCCCACCCCTCCAGGAGCCTGGGGCGTTTTCTTTAGTTCTGTAGCCACTGGTAAGGTCCCCATGGCTTCTGAAAGTGACCTCTCATCCACCCTCCTGTAATCAATTCTGTGAAACTCACCAGAGTCACAAAAACAAACAAGAGCCTTGAAAGTCAGAGGAGAACTAGTTGGGAAGAGGAAAAGTAACAGCAAGAGAGGAAGGCGGATGAGAGGGGCTGATGGGATGAGTATGGTCAAAATACACACGTATGAAAATGACATAATGAGGCACACATGTAATTAGCGTATGCTGATGGAAACACACACACAAATACTCATGAACAGAACACAGCAACTCCCTGTGTTATTTTCACAATTTATTGTACGTCTACCATTGTTTCTAAACCAAAGGTTTTAAAAATGTAAAAATATAGATGTCTTCATTTTGTAGCTGCCTTGTGCCTCTCAGGCTCCAGTCTGACTCAGAGATTCACCGCCCTCTTTTAATACTGGGACTTATCCAGGCAATAAACCTCAACTGGCCTGTAGAGGGCTGGCATCTGTCCTCATTTGTCAGGAGGACGAGGAACCAACTCGGAATCTAGTTTCACTTTTGGTTTCCTGAAATTACAGAGGAGCCAGAAAGAGAACTGTAGCCAGCGGCAACCAGAGCTTTGGTGCCTGTCTGCATCAGCTACAAGCCGGTCGCACCTCTCCACACCTCCTACAGTAGCTGTGGGCGTTGCAGCCTCCTGTCCGGCCCCAGCACCGAGGATGGATGAGGAGCTATACTCAAGGCAGCTGTGAGTCTTGAGGTGGGATACAAAGGCGGGTGGCTTCCAGACCTTGGGTCTCTAGCTGCCTGCCTTCCTTACTTCTTAACCACAGGTATGTCCTGGGCCTGCCTGCTATGCAGAGGATCAAGGCAGCCAAAGTCTTGCTATGTGGCCTGCGGGGCCTGGGAGCTGAGGTGGCCAAGAACCTGGTCCTTATGGGTGTGGGCAGCCTCACCCTGCATGACCCCCATCCCACCTGCTGGGCTGACCTGGCTGCTCAGGTAAGAGTTCTTGGGGTCTCTGTGCTCCCTCCCAGAGCAGGGCCAAAGGGGAATCTCTTTGATCAAGCTCTGCCGTTCTGTCCTTAGTTTTTCCTCTCAGAAGAGAGCTTGGGAAGGAGCAGGGCTGAGGCTTCTCAAGCACTATTGGCTCGGCTCAATGAAGCTGTCCAGATCTCCATCCACACGGGTGACATCACCGAGGACCTACTGCGGGGTTTCCAGGTGTTTGCCTTAGCACCAACTTGCATGCCAGCCCAGTACCTCCCTCCTGCCCTTAGGAGAGAAGGTGGTGAGTGACTCTGGCCCTGTTGATCACCATGTCCATCTAGGTAGTGGTGCTCACTGACTCCAAGCTAGAGGAGCAGCTGAAGGTGGGAACCTTGTGCCACAAGTGTGGTGTCTACTTCCTGATGGCTGAAACCCGGGGCCTTTTGGGGTGAGGAGACTATCTGTATACCCCACCACATCACTGCCAACACTGGGTCCCAGCGCTTTGCCCAGCTCTAAGCTTGCCCCTATCCTCCTCCACCTCAGCGTCCAGGCTTGCTCTTGTACACCCTATGCATCCAATCGTAATCCCCACATCTTCCCTAGAACTCCTAACCCTCTGGGCCTGTCCCAGGGCCCCCTATCATTACTCACAAATAATGAGGTCCCTCAGTAACTTCCACCCACCATACCAGGCGCTTGTTCTGTGACTTTGGTGAGGGCTTCACTGTTGAGGATCCCACAGAGGCAGAACCCGTGACAGCTGCCATCCAGGACATCTCCCAGGTGGGTGGTGTAGAGATTTACCTGACATTCAGAGGAAGGTGCCAGGGCCTGTGGAATGCAGGCACGGGCATTCTGAGGTCAAATCATCTCTTACCCAGGGATCCCCCGGCATTGTCACTCTGAGAGGAGATGCCAAAAGTCAGCCTTTCTATGATGGGGACTTGGTGGTTTTCTCAGGCGTTGAAGGCATGGTTGAACTCAACTGTCATTCTCCACAGCCTGTCAGGGTGCAGAGTAAGCCAAAGCCAACCCTACTCCAACCCCTGGCCCCAGGAAACTACTTCTATTTAGGGATCATAACTTACTAGGATGGCTCTCTCCTAGAAGATGGGTCCTTGGTGATTGGAGACACAACAACTTTCTCCCGTTACCTGAGAGGTGGGGTTGTCACTGAGGTCAAAAGACCCAAGTCTGTGAGGCATGTGAGTATAAGTGCATCTGAGGTGGGAGCTCCTAGCACATGAAGGGGTGCACATTCCAGACCTGGCCCCCACTACAGGAGCCCCTGCACACAGCTCTGCTTCAGCCCCGTGTGGTGGCCCAGAATACTCAGGAAGTACAACGTGCCCACTGCTTGCATCAGGCCTTCCGTGCCCTGCACAAGTTCCAGCAACTTCATGGCCGGCTACCTAAGCCCTGGGATCCTGTGAGTAGCCCCACATTGCACTATACACAGCCTCTGTCTCGCTGGATCTCACCTTTCAGGCCTCACTTCAATGACCATTTACAGATCCAAGTTTGAACCCTAGATGCCGATTCTGTACTCAAAAACAGGAGATACTACTTCACACTGGAGGTTGTGTCCGTAGACATGCAAGGCCTACAGCCTGGAGATGTCTGCTTTCTCTGAGCTTAAGCCATCAAGGCAGGTTGGAAGCTGTGCTCATTGATGCCTTCAGTGCCTCTGGCTGGTGCTGGACATCCTTTGGAAGCACTTCCCAGCCTAGCAACAATGCCAGGCTTTCCCACTTAGGATTCTGCTGCTCCCGTGAAACAGGGTAGATGGGTACCTGAAGGCTTAGAGTAGGAGGTCAGAATTCAGGCTGGCGCTACTAGGCCCACATGTGCTATGCCTGACTGCCCTTCCACAGGTTGATGCAGAGATTGTGGTGGTCCTGGCCCAGGACCTGGAGCCACTGAAAGGGCCGAAAGAAGAGTCGCTGGATAAGGCTCTTCTACGGACAATTGCCCTGAGTAGTGCTGGTAGCTTAAGCCCCATGGCAGCCATTGTGGGAGGAGTGGCTGCCCAGGAGGTCCTGAAGGTAGACACAAGGGAGGAAAGGAAGGGATTGGGAAACTGGGCAGGTTGGTGTATGTGCCAGGGGGCACCCATACCCAGCAGCAGCCTGGATCATTTTACCAACCCGGATGCAGTCTTCAGATGGGATCCAAATGGGAATAGACACTGGGAGTTGGGGGGAGCCCTCAGAGTGAAGTGCCCACCCCTAGGCAATCTCCAGGAAGTTCATGCCCCTGGACCAGTGGCTGTACTTTGATGCCCTTGAATGTCTTCCGGAAGATGAGAAGCTCCTTCCCAATCCTGAGGACTGTCATCCGGTGAGAACTGGGGGTGAAAGCCTTGGTTAAAATCAGGGTTAGAGGAGAAACCCAAGAAACGCCGCTGATTAAACAATGCAATGACCCACAGCACAGGCCATCAGCCGTCACTGGCCATCATTTGTATTCCCTAGAGAAACTGCCGATACGATGGGCAAATTGCTGTGTTTGGGACTGGTTTTCAGGAGAAACTGAGCTACCAAAACTATCTCTTGGTGAGCCGAGGGATGATGGTGAGGGTGTCTTTGGGAAATCCAGGCCAAGGGCTCTGAATCACACTGTTCCTGCCAATAGGTGGGGGCTGGTGCCATCGGCTGTGAGATGCTCAAAGTCTTTGCCCTGGTGGGCCTGGGAGTCAGGGCTAATGGTGGCAGCTTGACTGTGGCCGACATGGACCACATAGAACGCTCCAACCTCAGCCGGCAGTTCCTCTTCAGGCCCCAGGACATTGGGGTGAGTGTTGGCCCCTCCTCCAGCCGTGTGTCACAGGCTGCTTGCTCTCACCTAATGTGCCCCTCTCTTCCCAGAGGCCCAAGGCGGAGGTGGCCGCCGCAGCAGCCCGGCGTTTAAACCCAGATCTACAAGTGACCTCGTGTAACTCCCCGCTGGATCCCACCACGGAGGACACCTACGGCGACGGCTTCTTCTCCAGGGTGGACGGTGTGGTTGCTGCTTTGGACAGCTTCCAGGCCCGTGAGTGCCTCACTTAGAGCTGAGCCCCTCGCCCAAGCCTCCGGCCGGCGGCACCGCTCTGTACCCTATGCCCTTTTGCCAGGGCACTATGTTGCTGCTCGATGCTGCCACTATCTGAAACCGCTGCTGGAGGCGGGCACACAGGGGACCCGCGGGAGTGCTTCAGTGTTTGTGCCCCATGTCACCGACGCCTACCGCGGCCCCGCTTCAGCTTCTGAGGATGCTTCCGCCCCTGTGTGTACCCTGCGGCACGTCCCCAGCACGGTGGAGCACGGCCTGCAGGTAAGGCTAGCCTACCCGCCCCGTCTCAAGCCTCAACTGCAGATCTGTCCCTCCTCCAGTGCGTTATCACCCTCCCCTTCCCCACAGTGGGCCCGGAATGAATTTGAGGGACTCTTCAGACTATCCGCAGAGACCGTCAACTGCTACCAACAGTAAGGCCAGCAACAGAGGTAGGCAGGAGTCCAGGACTCCAGGCAGAGTTCAACTTCAAATTCCCTCTGCTCTCTGCAGGACACGCTCTTCCCTGTCAGACAGAGATAGGACCTTACTGCAGCAAGTGCTGGGCGTCCGAAGAACGCGCCCGCGGGCCTGGCGAGACTGCGTAGTGTGGGCTCTTGGCCACTGGCAGCTGTGCTTCCACGATAGCATCCTAGAGCAGCTGAGGCGCTTCCCATCCGATAAAGTACGCAGTCGGTGGCTGGGCAGCTGACGGCTCTGACAAGGGGACCAGACGGAGCCCAGCAGCCTCTGTTTCCTTAGGTGCTTGATGATGGAACTCTGTTCTGGTCAGGATCCAAAAAGTGTCCACGTCCCTTGCGATTTGACCCTAACCAAGTGAGTGGAGTCCTCAGATCTGAGTCCCCTTGGGGCAGAGGTAGCCGTCTCTGCATTCCGCTAAGATGTACGGATGCTAAAAGAGAGCCATGCTTGTGCAACTGTGAGTGTCTGTCCTTGAGGCAGGAAGGCGTTCACACAGGTCCATAAAAGGGCAGTGGATCCCATCCCATGTACCCATGAATCTGCTCTGCTCTCTGCTTGGCTGCAGGACATGCATTTCCTCTACGTGCTGGCAGCTGCTAATCTGTATGCATGGATGCATGGGCTTCGTGGCTCACGAAATCAGGATGCACTCAGGGAACTGCTGAAGCTGCTTCCAGAGCCCGGTTCCGTGGGCCAGAACCTCTTCTCTGCTGGTGCTTTCACTCCTTCTGAGTTTGGTAAGGTACCAGTCTTGTACAGCCATTTGAGGCTCGTTCCCCGACCCCCTTCAGCCTGTGCTCAGAAGGAAAATGGAGCCTAAAAGCCCTTAGAGCCAACTTGCTTCTTCTCTCTGGTCCTCTGGGGTTTTTGTTCAATTAATTTTTATTAATTTTTTTATGTATGAATATTTTACTTACACGTATATGTATATACCATGTGTGTTCCTGGTGCCCAAAGAAGCCAGAAGAGGGCATTGATCCCCTAGAACTGGAATTACAGACAGTTGTGAACTGGCATGCAAGCACTGGGAAATGAACTAAAGTCCTTTACTGGACCAACAAGGGCTCTTCACTGCAGAGCATCTCTCCAGCTCCCTCTGGGCTTCTTACTCTGCTGCTTAGTTTAATTCCATGCCCTGGCCCTTCAGGAGGTCCTTCTGCTGCCTAAAACGTATCCTAGTTCTCTTGAGAGACTTTCAAAATTAAGAAAAAAGTTCTGAAGGGTGCCTAGCGATGGTCCCAGGTGAGGACATAGCCACATGGGTAATTGCAGTAAAGAGTGAGGCTGCAAGGAAGTAGATTGTAGAATCAATTGAGAGAGTCCTTGATTAGATCAAGTGGCCAAGAATGGCAGGTTTGGCAGAGACCAAGAATGGCCAGGAGGCTCTGAGTACAGGAAATGAGCTAAGGACTGCATACCCTGCTCCTTGACAGGCCAGGAGCAGCTGAAGGAACTGCAGGGAATCCTGGAAGACTGGAGCAAGGGTCCTCCGCTGAAGCCTGTGCTGTTCGGGAAGGTGGGATCCCCGGCGGGAATGAAGAACTGGGTGTGGGGGGGGGGTAAGGAGGTAGGGTAGCTTGAGAACCCGGGGTTCCTTCCATCAAGGCCATGGAAGTAGTTGACTCTCAGTTGTCCCGTGTGACAAAGGAGGGAGATGGTGGACCATAAAACTGTACACAGGCCTGTCCGTGACATACAGTTGGCCATGGTGAGGGATACCTCAGCAGTGTTAATGCTACTGTAATCTGGGCCTGGCAGGATGATGACAGCAATTTCCACGTGGACTTTGTGGTAGCAGCGACTGACCTTCGATGTCAGAACTATGGGATCTTACCAGTCAACCATGCTCGGGTAACTCCACCCCTTTGGGGCTCAGGCCTAGAAGTGAGAAGTCAAATTTTGGCCCTAAACCCTGAGCCCAGACCAGATGCTCTGTCTTGACAGATCAGGCAAATTGTGGGCCGGATTATCCCAGCCATTGTCACCAGCACAGCAGTTGTGGCGGGCTTACTCGGCCTGGAGCTGTATAAGGTGGCTAGTGGGCCACGGTCCCGTGGCACCTTCCGTCACACTTATCTGCACCTGGCTGAAAACCACTTCGTACGTTCAGTGCCTTCTGCCCCAGCCATCCAGTGGGTGAGCCTCTGATACCCCTGCTCCTATTAGGCCTGAGTTTCCCCTTTATCCTCCCAAGCAAACTGTCCTCTCTCTAGCTGTGGGCTCTCCCTAGGCCCCAGACTATGGGGGAGTCCAGACTCTATCCGGCCCCCTTCCTGCTATGAAGCCAGGCTGGGACCTGTCAGACACAGGAAACAGCCATCAGCCATACCCCGCAACCCCCCTGCAGTCCAGGGTCTGGGGGAGCTGCAGCTTTAACTCATTAGTGGAGCCAGACATTCCCCACGTCCCCCTCCTTCTCAATAATATCCTGGTGGGAGGGATTAGGGAGAGGCAACCAGAGACTCAGCCCCAGGAAGAATCAAGCTTCCCTCTGTAGCGCCCTGTTCTGTACAACTCAAGCCAAGTTAAAGGGCACCAGGCTTGCTACCAGGACTGTGGGTCTCAGACCTATAGGAGAGTATATTTGTGCCACAGATATGAGTGCACCAAGGTCTGGGCATCCCTGGTGTGTGAACATGGAGGTATGGAGCTTGCACATCTGTGTGCCAGATGGGAGAGCAAGGATCTTCCTCAATGTGAATATGCGCATGTGGGCACAAATGTGGGGGTTGTTGGTGTTATGTGTGTTGGCACTCCTAAGAAGGCAGAATGGCAATGCCTCCAACTGTGTGCCCAGGCTCTGCCCCAGTTGGCATTTCCCTGAGGCACAGGAAAAAGCACATAAGGAATGCCCTCACAGAGGAGAGGACAGAGGTCACCAGCTAGCCTAGGCTCCCTCTGGACAGGCACACAGAGTGCTTCTGTGAGGTGCCCCTCTGTTAACCAGCACAGAGGCTGCCTTTGTCCACGGGGTGGGGGTGGGTAAGGGTCTACATCTTGCCTCCAGCCTAGTCTCCACCCCAGTGTGCTTCTTGCGGGTTGGCAGGACCCCTTTGTCCTGGACTCTGGATGTCTGCTGCATCTGTCCTCAGCTCTAGGTACCCAACTTCTTCAACTGGGAAGAAGATGGGAAAAGAACAGACGCTGCTGTAGACTGTATCTGTTGGGAGGGACCCTCTGGGTCAGTAGGGTTCCACTGTTACCATGTCCTCGGTTCATGCATGCCCATGAGCCATCCAAGGCCCTGTATCTAAGAACTGGGAAGTAGCATGATCTGCATCCCTAAGCTCCCAGCCTCCCTCTGAGGAACAAGCAGCTTTATCGGAGACTCCAGCAACCCAGCTCCAGCTTCCTCAGGAAGGAGCCCCCCACCCCCTACCCCCGCCTCCAACTGGCCTGTGTGATGGATGTCTGTTTCCCTGTACAGGGCCCCATAGCTCCATTTCCTGTGCTGGCCCCAGCCTGGGCGGGGAGGGGGCTGAGACTCTGGGCTCAGATCCCACCTTCCACCCCCACCCCCCCATCACCAGCTTCCTGCCTCTGGAGTGGCTCCTCCTCTAGGAAAAGCTGCTAGTAACTGGGCCAGGGGCTTCAGGTTTGTGTGAGAAATCTCTAAGTCCCCCCTCACCTCCACCCACAGTTCCATCACCTGAAATGGACCTGTTGGGACTGCCTGAAGGTACCTGCTGTGCAGCCTGAGAGGACACTGGACTCGCTGCTGGCCCACATCCAGGTGTGCCCTGTTTCCACACTGCCCCAGGTGCAGCCCAGCCCAACGGGTATCTCACGTCTATATGTCTCTAGGAAGAGCATGGACTGAAGGTGACGATGCTGCTACATGGCCCGGCTCTGCTCTATTCGTCAGGATGGTCATTGGAAAAGCGGACTGAGCGCCTGAGCCTCAGGTGAGCCAGTACCTGACCATAGCCGGGCCCTACCATGTCCCTGGATGTTGAGGATAGGTGACAGCCTCTTTCTCTCAACCCCATTCTAGGCCCCTCACACCTTCTTGAAGTGTTCTTCCACCAAATGGAGCCAACAAATGGGCCTGGGGATGGGGTGGGGCAAAAAACCAAGGAAGTGGACTTCAGTAGCTGCCTGCTGGCCAGCCCCCTTGGCTTCCCATACCCTGCCCTGCCCCCACATCACAGCCTACTCTCAAGGGAGCCACAGCTTCCTGCCTCTTGCCTGCCTCACCAGCTGCTCCTAAAATAGTTTCAGATGTTTCCTGCTTTGAGCCACTCCTGCTCCTGGTTCGGACTCTTGAGGGCTCACCGGCACCCCCTAATCCACTCTAGGTTGCCCTCTGTCTGTCTTGGCTCACCTACCAAATCTCCCCTGAACCCTCTCCCATACCAGGGTGACGGAACTGGTGGAGCAGGTGACCGGCAGGAAGCCTGGGCCTAGGCAACGGGTCCTGGTGCTGGAGCTGAGCTGTGAGGGTGAGGACGACGAAACTGCCTTCCCACCTCTGCATTATGAGCTGTGAAGAGGCAGCCCCCACACCACCACCCGGCCATAACGAATTCTGCATAAAACCCCTGCGTCTTGAGCCCACAGCAGACACTTCATCAATAAAAACTTGTGAAAGGGACACACAAGTAGAGAGGATGGACGGTAGACCATGGTGGCTGGCGCAAGTGTGATGCAGGCAAGACAGGGACCCCGGAAAAGAGAGGGAAGATTCTAGATTGGCCTGTCTTAGTTGTGCTCCACAGGGCTGGGGACGCTTCCTGAGGCCTCAGGAGTATGGAACCAGCAGTTTAGAAAAAAGGCCTTTATTGTCCCTAGCTGGAGGGCAAGGTCAGAGGTAGCTGATATCGTTGTAGATGATGGGTTGACGGCTTCGACAGTTCATGAGGGCTGCAAATCGTGAGATGTCCGCAGGCAGGTCAGGTTCTGGGCGAGGTGGGCATGACAGCCGCTTTCCTGCCATAGCTGCCCGCCGGGCCCTGGCCAGCCTACGCCGTAGCTGCTCAGAGAGGCCAAGCAGGAACTGAGGGGGTCGAGCACGTGGCCGGGGTACGCCTCCATCACTCCCCTCGCTGGCTGCCTCAGGCAGCTCCATCCAGTTGTGAACTAAGTCGGCAAAACAGTTATCCCCCAGCACCAGGGGCTGCCGACTGCGGCCCCGGTTTAGCAGGGCTGCGGTCCAGTCTTCCGCTTCCAGTCCCTGCCAGTGTTCCAGGCAAGCGTCTGGGGTAGACTTGGGCCGTGGGCGGTGGGCGGCTGGGATGTTGGTTACAGCTGCCCTGCTGCGCAGGGGGAGGTCACTGACTGAGAAACGCTGGCTACAGGGTCGCCGTTCTGGGGGTGCTTGGCGCTGGGGTACAGACAGCTCTTCCTCTCGCCAAGTACTGCCAGACACCTCGGAGAAGCCGGAGTCCCAGTCTAGGGCATGTTCCCTGGGACATCCCGCGGGTACACCCCTGTCTTCTGCCACCAAGGCCTCCTCTTCCTCCTCCTCGTCCACACAGCACACAGAGTCCTCTTCCAACGCATCCGAGGCCCTGAACGGGCGCTTGGGTTGTACACTTGGGTCGGTTTTGGGTTTTGGTTGCAGTGGGCCAGGCACTGGAGGTGAGCCTGTGTCCCGACCACACAGCTGAAGGGAAAGAGAGGGCAGAGGTTGGAGAGCACTTTTTTTTAATCGGCCCTTAGTGTCTGACCAGGCCAGCCCTGAGAACGAAGGGTTCAGAAGGACTTGAAAAGCCTCTGTGCAGCAAGGCGGAACTGTAAGCATAGGGCCCACATGGGGGCACACTGGCACTCATGGGCTCCCATCCGCAGGGCTGGTGGCAATCCGGCAGGCTGCAGCACGCAGCGCCGGGCAAGTCAGCACGCGCCACCAGGGCGGGCAGGCAGAGTAGAGGAAGGAGCTACAGGCCAGGCCGGGGTAGGGGTTGTCCACAGCACCGCAGCGCGTCTTTAGGCCCTTGGTGTTCTCTGTCGGTCCCCCAAAGAAACTTGTCTCCCTTCTATCCTCCCCCGCCGCCGGCATGGCCAGCTGGGCGCCTGTTACCTGATGCCCAGAACAGCTCTCAACCGTCAGAAACCCGAAGCGGGCCATCTGGGCCATCTGCACCGCGTTTGCCCTGCCCCCATCCTGACTCGGATGGGCACCCGGAGCCTACCCCGTACCCGTTTGTTGCTCCTGCCAGGCGGCAGCCACACACCCCACACACGTCCTCACAACCACACCCACTAAAGCCTCACCAGTTCCCAGCGGAGCTGGCTCAGGAAGCTGTCAAGCCGAGCGCTGTGCATGTTGGCTGCCGGTGCCTGTAGCCCTCTCCGGGTCGGCCGGCTCCTTCTCGACCTCCCGCGGGAGCGGCGCAGAGTGGGCCGGGTCGGCCCGCCAGCGGCGTCCTCACCCTTGCCTTACTCCCGGGCTCCTTGCTCTCTCGGTAGCTCCAGCCGCTGCCGCCCCAACATCTGGCAGCCGCGCCCCGCCCCGCCCCCCGGCGCCCTAGCCAATGGAGGCGGGGCGGGCTGAAGATGTTCTGCCCCCTTCAGCCCCGCCCTCCAGCCCCGCACTGCTGGAGGAGGCCGGCTGAAGCAACACTTGAGATCGGAGGGCAGCTCAGGGACCCCCGTCCTGCCTCAAAAAAGTTTAGGTGACCCTGCGTGACGCCGGACAGACACGACCCCCTCCAGCTCCTCGCACGTTCGTCCTGTGGCCTCAGCTCCTCAGTTCGTCCCTTGGTGAAATAGCGGTTTCTGGTACCGGGGCCCGATGTGATGCCCATTTGTGGGCACTAGGCCCAGTCGTCTGGTTTGACGATGGTGCGCTGTTGTCTGTCAAGGCTGTTTTCCCTGCAAGAGCTAGAACTGAGATTCTGCCCAATACTCAGCGAAGAGCCTTAAGGCAGAGTAAGGGAAGAGCCGCGGCTGAATTCCCTCCGGCGTCCCTCAGGCCTGGTCTGAGCCGAAGTGGGCTGGACCGCCCTCTAGTGGGCATCTCACGGCCAGCCGATTGATTGCCTGAAGGAATGGAAAAGAAAAACTGCTCTTTGGCCAGAGTGTTCAGAGCCTTTCCCCTGAGGCCACTCTATAATCAGAGGAACAGTCTAACAGGACTGGACCTATCAGCAGACAGGAAATATATAAGGATGAGGGCAGTGAGTTCAGCTGAGGGACAGGACTCCTAAAAGATGCGGGTGATATCAGTATGTAACCGGATTCAGTCCGTTTGAGTCCAGTGAGAAGGGGCATGTTTAGGTGATAGCGTCTGCCAATGTAAAGAACATCGAGGGACAGGGGCTAGGCAGACCAAACACAAGGAAGACACAGATATGCGTGATGGGTGGGGCAGGAGTCTAGGGATTGAGGGAAAAAGTCATCAAAACTTTCATTAAGGCTTTCAGCAGGCTTATGAGGGACTCTGGACTTTATTTTTAACGCTATAAGGAGCGTGGAACTTTTTTTTTTTTCAGGGACCGACCAAGGCTGGTTTCTGTGAGATACAGTTGTTTTGGGAGAATAACTCTGTAATCATAGAGGAGGCTCTAGCCTTTATCCCAGGCGAGGGTGTGTGTATGAAAGCCTGGTTCTGAGCCTAGAGGGTAAGCGGAAGCACCATCCTTGACTCCAGAATCTAGAGTATGTTTTAGAGCTAAACTCTAGCCTGACTGATGCACAGATGCAGGTCAGGAAAGCAAAGCTTCCAGATTTCCAGTCTGAGCAGCTGGCTGGCTGGCTGGAGCTTCCGTTTAAAACATCCAGTTCCCTCTGGCTCTCTTTCCCATCAGATCTTGCTGCTGGTCTGGTGGTCACAAAGACGAAAGAGTTACACCGAAGCTGGCTGGCCTCACCGCCAGCTGCAGCCTGGGACAGAGCATACGGGCCATCTTCAGACAGGCCCTCACTCTCTTTGTAAAAACTGGGTAATCTGAGAATGAAAGAGATGAATGTGAAGCTCTAGGCAGTTGTAGAAACTGCTGTCTACAGTCTCTGTAGCCTTTGAGTTGTGCTGTTTGGTTTTGTTTGTTTGTTTGTTGTTTGTTTGAGGGCTATATAACCAGTGAGGGGCCCCTCATCTACAATGTGGTCTTAAACATCACTGGAAGGAAGAAGCAGGTAAAAAGAACAACTCTGAAAGCAGAGCGTGTGGCTAAATGCTGTATGATCCACACACCTGTAACTAAATCGATAAAGACTATTTCAGTCTAATGGAAACTGGAAAGAAAGGCTGGAGGCGCGGCTAGGCAGTTAAGAGCACTGGCTATTCTTGTTGAGGACCCTGGTCTGAGTCCCGGTGCCCATATGGCAGCTCATAACTTTCTGTGAGTTTGGTTCCAGGGGGTCCTCCAACCTCTTCTGGACCCTGTAGGCGCTACACACACGTGGTGCACATGGCAAGACACTCAGATACTTAAAACACAAAAATAAAAATAAATCTGAGCCAGGCATGGCGGCACAGGCCTGTGATCCCAGCAGTTGGGAGGCAGAGGTAGGCAGATCCCTATGAGGTCAAGGCCAGCCTGGTCTACATGGTGAGTTTCAGGACAGCCAGTGCTGTATAGAAAAGAACTTGTCTTTAAAAAAAAAAAAAAAAAAAAAAGTCTGCAAGATTAAGGGGAAAGGAGATGATCACTGTGGACGCGTGAGCCTTGAGATTCAGGGTCAGCCAGTCAGGGTATGAGTGTGGAGTTCAGGAGAGATAAGCACAGAAGGACTGGAATGGAAGGTAAAGCCAGTGGGTGGCACTTTAGGCCATGACTTTGGAGAACATGGAGGTGATGAGTGTAGATAGAGGAGGGAAGACGTGAGCAGTTTCCATGCCCTACAACATTTCTTTGGATGGAGGTGGGAAAGATGAAACAGAGAACTCTGAAGCAGCGTGGGTGGGTTAGAGCGAGAGCGAGCAAGCGTTGAGCACTTCAGAGGAGTGAGAGCAAAGGCTGCATGTCTGGGGCTGAGAAAACAGCTCAGTCCGTGAAATGCTTACCCTACAAGAAGGAAGACCTGAGGACAGGCAGAACCCATGTAAAGAAACTGAGCGTGTAGCTGAGGGCGGTGGCGCATGCCTGTGACCCCAGCACTCCCAGGCAGAGGCAGGGGCATCCATGTGATTGAGGCCAGTCTGGTCTACAAAGTGAGTCCAGGACAGCCAAGGCTATGCAGAGAAGCCCTGTCTCGGGGGGTATTTGTAATCCCCAGCGGTGCTGAGCAGTAGAGACAGCCTGAACTCCGAGGGTTTTGGCAGACAACCTAGCCTAGCTAGGTGATCTCCAGGCCAACGAGAGACTCGGTCTTGAACAACAACAAACAAACCAAGGTGAACAGCTGCTGGGAATCCACCTGAGGTTGACCTCTGGCCTCCATGCGTGTACCGATCCAAACACGCACCTCCACTTACACACGGACTCCTGGAAGTCTGTGGAGGTAAGACTCCTCTTACCTCCACACAAGCGCTATGGCATATGCCCACGTTCACATACACGCCACACGCATGCACCACCCCCACACACGCAAATTAAATTTCTTTTAAAGAATCAGTGGGGCTGGAAAGATAAGAACATTTGCTGCTCTTTCAGAGGACCTGGGTTTGCTTCTCAGCACCCATATGGAACATCCAAACCAGGTGTAACCCCAATCTGAGGGTCTCCGATACCCTCTTCTGGCCCCTGTGGGCACAAGGCATGCGTATGGTACACATAATACATACAGGCAAAACACATAGCAAATAAAAGCAGCTGGTCGGTGTTGGCAATGCACCATCCAGCATTCAGGAGGCAGAGGCCTGTAGATCTCTGTGAGTTCCAGGCCAGCCTGCTCTACAAATCGAGTTCCAGGATAGCCAGGGATACACCAGGAAACTCTGTCTCGAAAAACTAAAGAAGAAAAAAAAAAAGAGTAATTGAGTCTTTTAAAAATTAAATTGGGAGTTGGGGAGATGGCTCAGTGGTGAAGAGCACTGACTGCTCTTGCAGAGGACCTGAGTTCAAGTCCCAGCACCCACATGGTGGCTCACAACCATCTGTAACTCCAGTTCTTTTGACTTCTGTGGCATGGTGTACACAAACATACATGCAGACAAAACATTTATACATGTAAAATGAAACATATTAAAAAAATTAAATTGATTAAAGGCAACCACTAATCATTGCAGTCCCTCCAGGGCAGTTTTGTGGAGAGACAGGTGATGTCTCATGTGGATAGAAAAATTAGCGATAGGTAAATGCTAGAGAGAGCAAGTAAAGAAAAGCTGAAAAAAAATGTCAAATGTATGATGGCCCAGGCCTGTAATTCCAGTAGGAGAGGCCACTCAGAGCTACATAGAGAGACCTTGTCTCAAAAAGATTTTTTTAAATGTACATGTAATAAATTGACAGATCTCAAAGCTACTGGCTCAGTAAACCTTAGCCTGCAGAGGCTGGAGCAGCTGCCTCCCAGATCTGCACACAACACATTCTTCAGTCCCTCTCAGAAGCTGCCCTCTGTCTGCTCCAGCTGGGATACCCACAAGGAATCATTAGTTTTATTTCATCTACCAAGGTTTCTTTTGTTTGTTGAGTGTAGACAACTTTTAAGAGCTTTTCTTGGTGGCTGAGCTTGGATTTTAGAGGCAGACAATGCTCTGATGGTAGGAGGAGGTAGCCAGAGTGCAGACTCCGGGGGGTAGCTGGTCTTGGGGCTAATTTTCCTGGGCACTGTGCTTGCTCTGTCTTTGAGGACAATGTGACCAGTTTCAACATCTGTAGCTTGAGCCTCCTCCCCTCGGATCCCCTTAGGGTTGGGGTAATGAATGGAAGAATTCACAGGAAACAGCGGAAGACCGGGACTTTCCAGCCCCTCCTGGAGCCTGCCAGGGGTCTGGGGCTCTGATCCAGGGGTAGGCGGAGCCGGCGTCTGGGGAACCTCCTGGTGGCTCTGTTTGAGCAACTAACCTGGCAACGGGGTTAGCCTGAGAAACAGCTTCCTCTGCCATTTCTTCAGGCTACCATGCTGCTGCTCAGGCTCCTGTTGATTCTTCTTGCAGTACTTTTCTCTGGTGAGGAGCAGATGGGTGGGTGGGGACCCAGGTGGGGACCCAGTTTGCCAGTGGAGTTCTGACCTTTAGATAAGCTAATAAGTGGAGGGCAGAGGAGCCCTTGACCCTTGTTCTTTAGCTGTTTCTTTAAATCACGTTCTCTCTCTCCACCTGTCAGATGTGTGAGACAAGGACTTTGGTTTCTTGGTCTCCAGATGTGGTCAGGCTGTGAAGAAAAAGGCTTAATTGTTAATTGCTACGTTTCTAAATGTGGCTTTCTCCTAGGCCTCCACAGCCTACCCTGGTCCATAGATATCCTCGAGAGCCAAGGGCCTGGCAGCATCCTTCAGTCTTTCACCTTCAACTGCTCCTCCTACACACCCACCCTGGCGTTATTCAGTGTGAAACCACCCACCGGGTTTTTCAACGAACCCAGCCTGCACCTGCATAACGGAATGTATGTGGGAAAGGTAAGGTCACGGGTACAACGAGAGATTGTGGAGAGACAGAAAGCCTAGGCACTCCATGTGGTCGCCAACCCACCACAGGTGACCTTGAGTAGCTCCGCTCGGCTGGACGCACTGGTAGTCAACCGCTACGAGCTGCAGGTGCAGTACAAATGCGGCAACTTCGTGCGAGAGGTTCACCTCTTCGTTCATGTGCAGCCGAAGCCCAGTCAAATCCAGTGTGCTGGTCCATTTGCCAGCCCAGGTGAGGTTAAGGGCAGCTGGTCGGGAGAGGGAAGGCACGGCCTGAGCAGAGTTTCCATGACCTCTCCTCTGGACAGCTGGGGAATTCGTTTACATACCAGAGACAGTCTCACCTGGGGCCCTGCTGTACACTCTGTTGCTGCCAGGCCTAGGACATCAGAAAGCCCAGGTAAGCTTTGAACACAGGGTGTGGGAGGAGGGCACAGGAAGAGATAGCTCGGCTCCTGCCAGGCCAGGCCCAGCCTTTGAAAGTCCCTGGAGTAGATGGCTGACCTTCTCCATGATGCATGTTCTTGGAGAGAGCCACTGTGGGGTTCCTGTCCTCCCAGCAATAAGGGCAGTTTTTGCTGGGACTAAGATCCTCTGAGTTCTATGTGTTCCTTCCCCCTTTTATCCATTGTGTGTACGTGGATATGCATGAGCATCGCGCATGCTGTGACATTCGTATGGAGTTCCAAGGAAAACTTTTGGGTGTTCATTCTCTCCTTCCGCCGTGCAGGTTCCCAGGGTCAAACTCAGGCTGTTCAGGCTTGGCAGCAAAGGCTCGAGCCAACTCACGGGTTTTTGTTATTGTTGTTTCCTCGTTTATTTTTGAGACAGCCAAGGTTACATAGAGAGAAATCTGTCTTAAAAAAAAGTAAAACAAGACAAAAACAAACAAACGACAGAGTGAAAAACAAAACCACAAAACAACAACAAAAAAAACCCACCAAACCTTTGTTTGTTTGTTTGTTTTAGCAGAAAGTGCTGAGGACCAGAGCCAGGGATCACAGTGGAAGGCAGAAGGCCTAGGCTTGGGTAACAGCCAGTGGGCAGGATACAGGGCGCTCAAATATAAGCAGCAGTCCGCTGGGTTATTGGAGGATGTTGATAGGTGTACTTGGGGTGCTGGGAACCGGAGGGACCACTAACATCTCTGTCCTGTCAGATGAACATTACCAGTGCTCAAGACCCTCCATTCTTCCCTGGGCCTTTCTCCATTGATGACCAGGGACTGCTGCGGGCACCAGCCCAGGGCCTCAGAGGCCAGGCCCAAAAGGTAAGCATGGCTTTTGATCTGGGGATAGCTATGGATTAGGTAGAATTGCCATCTTCTGGGAAATTATCTGTTATTGGCTCCCTCGATTGATATGCTTGCCTCAGACCTCTTTTCACTCTGTGCTGCCTGTCCTCTTGGCTTGGCTCTATTCTATGCTGAGATTTGTAGGTCCAGAAGAGAACAGGCCTGTGGCCCTAGGACCTCACAGGTCCTCTACCATAGAGTGCAATGTTCATGGCAATCAAACTTGGAGAGAAAGCTTCGGTCAGGTGCCCAGTGAGGAGGAAGTTCCCTCTTTAAAATGGCCGTTTCTGCACTTCCCTGGGTTCCATCCACAGCGCCACAAACACACCCCTTCCACCTCTTAGTAACTGGCTCTTAGCAGCTCTGTCCTAATAATTCACACTTTGAATGACTCAGAATTGGTGACCCAGAACTGATGCTTGACGACAGAGTGGTAAGTCTCGAGTTCCTTGTGGAGGTCCTGAGGAGGACTGCCTGTTTGAAGGGAGGACTAGGAGTGGATATACTAGTGGACACAGACCATGGTTTCCTTCATGTCCTGACAGGCCTTCCAGCTGCAGATTTTAGCATCTGCAGGAAAAAGCGGAAGCTGCAAAGGGATGCTGACAGTGAAGGTTTTGCCCCAGCCCTCCAGCCGAGTCTCTTTCTTGTAAGTCTCCCTGCTCTAGGAAGAGTGGGGGTTCTGCCTGTACCTAGGGAAGTAGTTGTGGTAGGCTGCGGGGCTGCTGGAGCATGCTAGCTTCCATAGGAGGAGAGACCTAGGAAGGGATCTGGGGACCCTGCTGGGTTAAAGCAGGAGCAGGCAGGAGCTAGGTTTGCACTTTTGGTTCAGACAGAAGGCCCAGAGTATCACCATTCCAGAGGATCTGGTCCCCGGGAGCGAGGTGACTCAGGTTCAAGCTAGAGGATTCAACTTACTCTATGAAATCATCTCCCCGCTGCCTAGTTCACTCTACTCCATTGGACAAGGTGAGAGGAGGAGGGGCAGGCATTGGGATGTCTGTAGCTGAGATAGGGTTGGGACACAGAGGTGATGCCTACCAGAAAGGTTGGTTTGAGAGCCCTGACCTTAGAGAAAGAGGCAGGAGTGGCCAGGATCAGCCATCGGCCCCACTTGGGGCCGTTGGAGAAGAGCGGGACTGAGCTGAGCTGGGGTGGGGCGGAGCTCTGTTTCTTACACCCTGACAACGCTCCCAGCTGACGGGGTAGTGCGGACGACCGCACCCCTGGATTTGGCTCGTGCTCAGGGCGCGGTGGTCACGAAACTGCAGGTGAGGGCCTTTGAGAGGCTCCGGCCTTGGGCCAGCGCAGAGTCTGAGCTCACGGTTAAAGTGCACGCGGTCAACCAGTGGCCCCCACGCTGCCATCCAGCGCTACTGGTGTGAGTACCCGGAAGCCGTGCGCGGGCTGGTGGGGGTGAGACGCCCTGGCCCAGTGGTCCAGACTCCTTCCTGTCTTGGCGTCCTGCCCTCCCCTCCCAGGACTCAGATCCCAGAGACTGCGCCTGTGGGCACGGTGCTGAACGCTCTCACTTGCGTTGACCCAGACTCTGCTGGCGCCCCCCTCGACTACCAGCTGCGTTTTCACAGCCCTCCCGACTCTGCCAGCCTCCGTCTCAATAACGGAGTCCTTGAGGTGCCTAACACCCCTCCTAGATTTCCATGCAGACAAGCTGGGTGAGACCGTGGAGGTGGGGCGGGGATAGGGTTGTGAAGACGATCTGCGGTTTGGAAAACTGGGTCAAGGTAGGCTATCCATGGACACCTGGCTTCATCTTACTCCGTGGTCCCCTTGGCCAGGTAAACGCGACTTTGGACTGTGACGCTCCTGGGGCTTGCTTCCAGCATTCAGCTTCCATCTTGGTGTTTGATGGTGGTCAGCCCCAGATAACCAGTGAGTGGCCCTGGTTACTTAGGCCTGAACATTCAGGACAAGGCTATCTTGTCTACTCTATTCCGTCCCCAAGACATAGACAGCTTTCTTCCCTCAAAACCTAGTAGGTCATGAGGGAGGGGCCTTCAATCGGGATATATAATGAATATATTGTGAAGAAAAAAAAAAAAGTAAAAGCCTAGTAGTAGGCCAGGACTGTCTCAATTTAAGAACCCTAGAATGTCTCTCTTAAGACCGCCACCATTCTACAGAAACCCTCCCTCCAGTACAGGGGCCATGTTTACTTACTAGGACCCTTAGGGCAGGTGTGGCTACCTCAGGCCAGCTCCTTACCTGCTGAATGGTCCCCAGCTGAGGTTCCAGTCCTGGTGACGGTGACACTTGTCAATGAGTTCTCTCCAGCCTGTGTCGCACGCACGTTCCGGGTTCGGGAGGATGCTGGGCCCCCCAGTCTGCTGGGCTCCATAGCGGGCACAGATGCGGATTACCCTCCTCACAGCCTTGAGTACTACATCTCTGGCAGACCCTCCACCTTTGCTGTGGATCGTCTCAGTGGTACTTAAACCCTAGGGCTGGGAGGGAGGGGTGGAGCAGAGTTGGCTCTGCAGGCTAAGGTATGATCACCCCTTCTAGGAGAGCTTCACCTCCTGGGGCCTTTGGACTATGAGCAGCAGAGGTTGTACAGAATCGTTATTCTGCTGATTGATCACAGCCAAGACTGGGACCTCAACCACCGCCGCTCAGGTTCATGTACCATAACCATTGAAGTTGAGGTAATTGACCCCCAAGGCCTGGGAAAGACAAATTTCCCTCTGGCTCTTTGCTTTTCCATGCAGATGCCACAGTTTCTAGTAAGGGTTGGTTGTGGGGGGCAGGGAACTCACTGTGGAAAACATTCCAGCCTGTTGCTTGCCACCCAGGTTCAGAGTTTTGAGAGGAAGCTGAAGGGCTAGCCTAGGCATTTAAAGAGCGGGCTGTAGTCATTCCCAATGTGGTGGCCTTTCTCCAGGACGTGAACGACCACGCCCCCGAGTGTGAGCCTCCGTTTCAGGAACTCACCGTCTCCCCTCCCCTGGGTCGTAGCACGGAGGTGACCGAGGTGTCGTGCTGGATCCCTCAGGAGCCACAGCGCTTGGCTTTCTCCTACAGCATCATGGGAGGTGTGAATGTGTGGGGGCCACCAGGCTGTTGGCGAGGGTCAGGCTACGTTAATAATATCTTCTTCTCCCGCTACTCTGCTTTCAGGGAATAGCCAGAGCCGGTTTAGACTGCAAGGAAGCATCCTGGTGCACAATGACACTGTGCTGGGGCCCCCGTGGCCAGAGCAGCCCTGCACCTATGAGCTATTGATCCATGCTGCTGATGCGGGCCCTTCCGTGCCCCACCTTAGCACCACAGCCACCATCATTGTGCATGTAGTTCCTTGGAAGGCCAGCACAGTGGCTACCAGCACCCACAGAAGCACAGTGAGGGGGTTCTCAGGCCCTTGGGGTTGGGAGAGAGGATCCTGAAGGGTGAAGGCGCTTGTTGTTTTTTTAAAAGATGGAATTATGAGAGAAGACATTTTGGAGAAAACTGCTGGATGCAAAAAAATAAATAAATAAATCCGGGGTGTGAGGAACCCCACTTCATAGAGAATTTGAAAGCTGGACTGCCAGTGGTGGTGGTGAGTCTGTGGCCCTCCTTTCAGGTGTCCTCAACAATGACACCCCTGATTGTGACAGACGTAGAGGCTTTCTGGAAGCCAGATCCCTGGTTTGTGATAGTGTTGACAGCGACTGGTGCAGTTCTCCTCCTGGCTCTGGGTTGGCTCGTCAGCAGGATCCTTCAGGGGTAGGTTCTTATCTCTGCTTCCTGCTTCCCCAGCCTACGTCTAGACACAGGCTGGAATAGGTCATTTTACTGAATAGTTGATGACTCTGCCAACAGTGGCGGGCTAACAGATGAAGGAGGGCTGCTCTGTCTCTCCGGAAGTATTCAGACTGGGAGACACTGGAAGTGGTCTCCATCATTGGTGGAGTGCAGTCTTGGAATCAGATGGACATAGATGGCTCAAAGTTTGAAATGTACCCCTGTTCTCAACACCTGTCTTCTACCTGATTTCTGCATGGCTTCTGTAGACTGAACTCTCTGAGCCCAGGGGTAGGACAGATAGCAGTTGTTGGCATCTCATACAGGCTCTGGCTATTTCTAAGCTAAAGGGACAGATGATGATATTACTCTTTGGTGTTAGCAGGCCTGTTACTTTCACTGCTTGTTTCTTCTTCCTGGCCTTTTAGATTGGCCCAGTCGCTACAGGCACCGAGCAAACCAGCCAGCGCTCTGTTGCTAAACAGGTCAGTCTCTTCTGTTTACCCCTATGCCTGGGAACCCATTTCCTAAACTCAGGCTGGGGTCCAGACTCTTATCTTGTGCTTCTCCTATAGAATCCAGGGAAATGAAGGCTCCATTGAGAGGCACATGGAGGCACCAAGAATGGAGATGTCCCAGGTACCCATAACTGCCATGAGTCTGCTATGCCAACTCATATCCCAAGCTAAGGGTGCTGAGGCTGCTCTAGGGCACTCCCTGTCCCTGCAAAGCCTGCCTTCCTGACTGTGAGTGGCTACCCCTGTGGGAATGACCACACCATCACCAAGACAGAGGAGGCAGGTGAGCACCTGGCCTGTCCATCTGCTCCCTGTGGGCAAGGGTCAACTCATTGTGCCCTTTTACTCTTTTCAGGGGCATTTTGATGGCAGAGCCCAAGATGTCCGTGAGTGTCCACTTTTCATAAACGATTCTTGGGGCCTTTCGCTTTCCCAGAGTTTTCTCTCTCCTTTACCCATCCCCTTTCTTACCGCCACCACCACCACCAAGCATCTATCATTTACAATTTCATTGACCGATCTCACCTCCACTCACCCTCTGTTACCCCTCCATCCTTTAGCCTACTTTTGTTAAGCATGAAATGGGTCCAAACCTCATTTTGTCCCAGCTCACAGAGAGAGGGTGATGGTGGCAAGGGGAGAACATATTCCGGTTTTACCAGGAAATGAGAGCAGACTAATGTGACATCGGCTGCTGTAGGGGAACTGGTACCCACTGGCTTTGTGTTCACTTGAGTCAAACCGCGGGGTTCTTTGCTGAGCAGGGAAGGAGGAGATAAGTTTGGGTCCCTGTGCAAAGGGTGATTACACTGCTCAAGCCAGCAGTCCCTTCTCCCCTCCTCTCTCCTGCTCATCTGGGCTCAGGTACAGGGAGAGATTACCTGTTCAGCACGCGCACGGGAGCCCGGCATTGGCTGTGAGGCTGAGCAGCACGGGAGCCCGGTGCTGGCTGTGAGGCTGAGCAGCTGCTTCTCTGTGTGTGGAATTCCCTTTTTACATGATCATAGCCTGACTTTCCAAGCAGATTTAGTAATAAAGACTACAAAGAGAATGCTGCCCACCTTGAAGTCTTTGTGCAGGAGAAGCTCCGAGATTTGCGTTTCTTTGTTCTTCTTTGGAGAAAGTGTCACTCCTTGTGGGCACACTATGGAACAGTAAGATTTTCCTCTGAAGAAGCATTGTCTGATGCCCTGATAGAGACTGACACTTTATAGAAGAAGCTCTTATCTTATTATCTTTATTAGTGATGGATAGACCCCCAGCTGTCTTGTCTATTCAGAGAAAAAAAAATTTTTTTTTGAGGCAGGGTTTCACTGTGTTGTCCTGGTTGGCTGGCTTCAAATGTATAAGATCCACTGCCTCTGCTCCTCAGTGCTGGAATTAAAGGCATGTGCCACCATGCCAGCAAGACTTACTTTAAAATTTGTTAAATATTTGTTCATTTCTTTGTTTATTGAGAGACAGGGTTTTTCTACATAACCTTGGGCTGCTGTGGAATCACTATGTAGATCAGGTTGGCCTTGAACTCACAGAGATCTGCCTGCCTCTGCCTTCCAAGTTCTGGGATTAAAGGCATGCACCACCATTCCGGGCAAAAACTTCATTTTAAAAACATCATTTCCTTTTGTAGTGTAAGCTGGCCTGGAATTATTTATGGGCACATGCTGTCATGGCTGGCTTGACACGAGTACATATGTGTACAAGCCAGGGACAAACTCAGATGTCACCCTCACCCTGTTTGAGACAGGGCCTCTCACTGACCTGAAACTCACTAAGTAGGTTAGGCTGGCCAGTGAGGCCCAGGATCTGCCCATCTCCTTCCTAGCACTGGATTACAAGTGAGAATTGTCATGCCGAGCTTTTATTTTTAAAAATATACTGTAGATTCAGGGGCTCTCTCATCATTGTTGGTCTTTGAGGGTCCCATCAGCTCTCATGGGCAGCTTGCCAACCTTGTGTAGAGGTTTTATTGGGAGGGATCTGGAATTTCGGCATAAACTTGCAGGGTGTGTGAGAGCCGAGAATCTGTGCGTAGCTGGTCATGGAGGGATTGGTGAAAGCCTCTTTCTGATGGTGGCTCCATGACTTTGTATCTGTTTCCACTGTTTCCTTATTGCCTAGCTCTTCCTGTGTTAATCTAGATCATTACACATAGCCAGGGGCTTTGTAACAGCCTGCAGAACAGATTTTACTGTGTGCAGTGCTGACCCATGTCCAATCTGACGTCAGGCTTGTCTCCAAGAGCACCTGCCGTCTGAGTAGAGGCTATGCTTAACTGTATTGTCTTCAAGTTCTCTCTCTCTCTTTTGGGTGTTCAAGACAGGGTTTCTCTGTGTAGCCCTTGCTGTTCTAGAACTTGCTGTGTATACCAGGCTGGTCTCAAACTCACAGAGATCCTTTTGCCTCTGCCTCCCTCTTGAGTGCTGGAATTAAAGGGGTGTGCTACCATAGCCCAGCTATCCTCAAGTTATTTTTGTTTTGTTTTTGAGACAGGGTTTCTCTGTGTAGCCCTGCCTGTCTTGGACTGGCTTTGTAGACCAGGCTGGCCTCAACTCACAGAGATCCCACCTGCCTCTGCCTCCCAGAGTGCTGGGATTACAGACATGTGACACCACACCTGGCATCTTCACGTTATTTTAATCTTCCCCCTTTTGTCAAATTGGTGGGCCTGAACCCTAGCAGAGAATTGGACAATCTCCATTTGGAGCCGGTAATAGGACCCTAGGCCTAGAAAGAGTATGAATGCCCTCTATGGAAAAAAAAAGAGAGAGAGAGAGAGACCTCTGGTCTTTATTATTTTAGAGACATGGTCTCATTATGTAGTCCTAGCTGGCTTGGAATTCACTGTGTAGACCTCAGACTTAGAGGCTGGCTTTCCTGTGCCCCTCAAGAGATTGGAGGTGTATACTACCATGCCCAGGAAGAACACTTGAAAAAATTATGTTTATATGTATGAATGTTTATATGTGTCTGTGTGCATATACGCCACATGTGTGTCGGTGCCCATGGTCGCCAGAAGAGGGTACTGGATCCCATGAAACTGGAGTCTCAGGCTGCTGTGAGCTACCTGATGTGGGTGCTGGGAACAGACCTCAAGTTCTCTAGAAGAACAGCAAGAGCTCTTAATCACTGAACCATCTCTCTTTTTTAAAATACTTTATTTTTATTTCATTTTATGTGCATTAGTGTGAAGGTGTCAGATCCCTTGGAATTGGGGTTACAGACAGTTATGAGCTGCCATATGGGTGCTGGGAATTGAATAAGCCTGAGAGTGGCTTATTGATGTTTTTTTCCTGAGTACTTGGCATACTGCAACAGCTTCTTAAATCTGCCTCCTGTTCATCCCCATCTTATAGACAAAGCAGTCAAGCCTCTGAGAAGCCAAAGCTCAAAATTCTCAGAGTGAGTCAGGATATTTTGGTGTTGGACCAGATGCTGGGATGCCCTTGGTATCCTAATCTTGAAGCCAGCCCAGGGTTAGGGGCCTTCTATGGAGAACAAGGGATGGCCATCTTCATGGGACTTTTTTTTGTCTTGGAGACCAGTCATGATAGCCTAGGGCAAAAGATAACTGTCTTAGGAATTTAACGGATGCTCTGGGGCTCTGGGGCCACTATATGCTGAGACTTGGGCCAGATGCAGATTTAACTCCTTGCAAAATAAACCGGGGAAAGGGAAAGCCAAAAATTAAGAGGTAGCCCAGAAGGCTGTGCCTCTGGAGTGGTGAGAGGCAATGCTGGGAGACGCTTAGAAAACACTCTTTAAATCTGGAGCTAGAAGAGGTGAGGGACATACCAGCACCACTTCATCTGGGTGACCTTGGTTCAGCCTCTCTTCTGCGCCTCAGTTTCCTCACCAGTGAACTATAGCCGACCCCAAGCACAGAGGCAGGCGAGAAAACAAACAGCATACCGTTGACCTTCCCTAAGTGTGTGCGAGAGCTTAAGCGCTGCCAGCGCAAAACAAAGGGGTTGCGCAGGTGAGAAAATCAAGGGCGGGAGCTCTAGGCGCCCGGGATCGCAAGCAAAAGCCCCGGCGCTAGCCAACCTGAGAATGAGGCGCATGCGTCAATTCGTGCCGTCACAGTCACGTGCCCCAGGCATTCTGCACGAGAGACACGCTGTGACTGACGGGACAGTTGACAAATCCGCGGGAAGAGTTCCTTCAGGCGTCGGGAGGAGAGGCTGTTGATTGGAGATAACCTCAGTCGGGGGCGGGTTCTTTGCTGTCCTTGGTTACTATGACGCCCGGCCCCCGCCCCCTCGGCTGGCCGCCATCTTGTTGTTGATCCGTACCCAGTGGGCAGCGCCAGGAGCTGGACCGAGCGGCCGGTGCGGGGCCGCTGCTGCGGGGCTCAGCCACCTGCGCTGCCTGCCAGGGGGCGGGCCGAAACCTGGAGGCCCGGGGGCCCCAGCTCCCGTGGGGAGCCTTGGGCGCCCGCTGCCCGGGTCGGGCCGGTGAGTGACAGGAGTCGGGCTGAAAGACCCGCCCGACACCCACGGCGAGGGTGGCGTCGGGCGCGGGGTTGTAGCAGGCGCGCGTAGGGCAGGGTCGGGACTTAGGCCGAGCATCGCCGGAACATCATTCCAGCGTCCCGGTTGGCCTTGCGCCGAGTCTTCCAGATGCTGGCACGGAGGCTGGGAGGGCGGCCCGGGTGGAGGTCGGAGAGCCTGTGTCCTCGGACCGGCCGGCGGGGTAGCGGTGAACCTGCCTTTGAGACCGGGTCCCCTGGGTGCCTCAGACCCGGAGTGCTGAGCTGTGGTCACTGCCCGCTGCTTCTCCCAGCCATAACGTTCCTCCAAATCAGTGATAAACGTAACGTCGCTCCTAGATACCACACTCTTGCGAGTAATTTTTTCAGGCCGCTTGAGACTAAGATTAGACGAAACAGGCCTAAAATGCCTTAGGAGCCAAGCAGGGTGGTATCAGGGCCCTGGGTTTTTGGTAAGGCGATGATCCTCCGCCTGTCTCTTTCCACGGAGACCCCTCGGAGCCTTCCGTGCTCTTCCGTGCTTCTTGAAAAGCCTGGTTAAATGTCCAGAGTGGCTGAGGGTTTTTTTTGTTGTTGTTATTGTTATTGTTTTGTTTTTGGAGGTGTAAGTTCTGTGATGTTCGACCACCACTTCTTCTGGACCGTGTGCTTTAGGAGGATAAGGGTGGTGATGATTAATTTTGTCCCCTAAAGAGGCAGTCCGTTAAGAGATAGATGTGGGAGTATGTTAGGACTATTAAAAAACGTTTTTTTTTGTGTGTGTGGTTTTTTTTTTTGTTTGTTTGTTTTATTTTTTTTTACTGTGAATAGTATTGAACTATCCCATTAACTTTAAACAGAACTGAAACCGGGTATGGGAGCTCATGTACTCTACTGAGGCAGGAGAATTGCCACTGGTTGCCAGGCTAGCCAGAGCTGTGTAGCAAGACCCTGTCTCAAAACAAAAGCAGTGCTAAAAGCTGTTGATGCTTGGTGAAAACATCCTGTCAGCTCTGTTTTTTCACGTCGGAGGTGGGGCTGGCAAGCCCCAAAAGAGTATGCAACTACAGAAAGGGTCCTGGCTGCTCTAAACCACCATATTTTCCCCCATGGACCCTTAGCTTCTCCGCACAGGTGTCTTGTATTTTGTTGTCATATGAAACCTACAAGAGATGATTAAGGAAGTCAAGCAAGGCAGTACCCTTCATTTCTGTTAGGATCATGTCACGTCTGAATCTTTAATTTTGAGGGAAACCTGCGCCCTGGTCTGGAGATAGATACCTTTGAGAAGCTGGGGCTGAATGCAGTCAGAGCAGGCAGCAGGTTGTTGTTTTTTGCCAGTGCCACACTTGTGAGGAGAGGGAAATTGAGTAGTAATGTTATTTATTTCATTGCCCTTCCACGGGGACATTTTTTGAAATGATGAACAAAATTTTAGCTTTGATGAAATAAAGTTTTTTGGGTCGTTTTTAGTAACTTTTAATGGAGGGAGATACTAAAATATTAGTGTCTCGGAATTTTTCCATATCAAGTTCCCATTGCTTTTCTTTTTTCTTTTTTGGAAATTAAATCATCCACAGGGTTAAATTTTTGCTGTTTCTGCTGAAGTAAGTTAGCCTCTTACCTCATTTTGGGTATTAAATCTCGTAGTGCTATAGAAGGAGACCATTATCAAGTTGTCAGCATTGACTAATGCATACAACCTTAGGGAGTCGCTCCTTGATCTAACCCTGTGTTAGGACTGCTGTCCCAGGAAAATCGGAATACAGGAGAATTTCATTATCTATGTTTACTGCTTTTACTAGCTCATGAATATTTATGAGTAGGGTATGATGCTTGATTCAACAGTTACCCAGAGACAATCCCATCATTTCTGTGCTGGATATTTGAAGTGCTACATCATAAAGACCATTATTATAATAGTAGGTCTTCTGTCTTTGTCTTTGCATAATTCATTTGTAAACTTAAGCACTTATTGAGCACTCTAGGTTTTTTGAGATGTCATTCCTTGTGTATCCCAGGCTCAAGAGTTGCCTGTCTCCTCAGAGTGCTCGGACTTTACAGGTTCACCTTGCTTAGCTCACCCTTTCTCTCTCTGTCTCTCTCTCTGAGTCTTCATAGCCCCGCTGGCTGTCCTGGAACTCATTCAGGCTGGCTTCAAAATCAGAGATCTGCCTGTCTTTGCCTCCCAAGTGCTGGCATTAAAGTCGTAGGCTGCCTTAGCACTTTAAAACTATTAGGAACAACTGGAGATCGCAGATGGTGGTTATTCTACACTGGTCAGAAATTTACACAGGCAGAGGCAGGTAGATCTCTTAAGTTTGAGGTCTGTAAAGCAAATTCCAGGACAGCGAGGGCTACAGTACATTCACAAAGAAACCCTGTCTCAAGGAAAAAGAAAATAGCCCTCAGGATTATAGAATGAGATCTGATTGATGTCCTAATGTGGTATCCAAAATGTTGCTGCTAGCCTTAGCCCACCTCTTCAGGTTTTATCCTTAGAACTCACTAACTGAATAGCTTGCTCAGAATTCCATATGCATTTTGCTCCCCAGTTCCTCTTGCTAGCTGAATCCCATGACCTTTGTCCCTGTTTAAAATTTGTTACTTTACCTTCATTGCTTATCTCCAGAGTCCAATCCAAGTTCTTCCCAGCTTTATAAGACACCTTTCAAACATTTAGATTCCTGGAGAATATTCCAGTCTTCTTGAACTGCAAAAGTATTATAGCCTTTAAGCAACAGAATAGGATTTGCTCTGTTTTTTTTTTTTTTTCTCTTTGTGTGTGTACATGTACTTGTGTACATGCACGTATATACATATGTCACAGAGTGTGCTGGAGTCAGAGGACAACTTTCTCTCCTACCATGATGTTTTTTCTTTTTAAAGATTTATTTATTTATTGTGTATACAGTGTTCTGTCTGTGTGTATACCTGCACACCAGAAGAGCTCATTATAGATGGTCGTGAGCCACCATTCGTTGTTGGGAATTGAGTTTAGGACTTTTGGAAGAGCAGCCAGCTCTTAACCTCTGAAGCCATCTTTGCAGCCCTTCTACCCATAGGTTTTGGGGATCCACCTATGTTGTCATGTTACCGTGGCAAGCACCCTTATCCCCTTAGCCATTTTGCCTGCTCTGTTTTGTTTTTGACACTATTACTATGTAGCCTAGGAAAGTCACCAGCTTGTTTTGTAATCCAGGTTGACAGCTAACTCTTGATCTTTTTTCTTCAGTCACTTAAGTGCTTCAATTACAAATGTTCACAACCATGGTCAGTTTGGTAGTTGCCTCATTCATTCATTCATTCATTCATTCATTCATTCATTCACTTTAATGTGTATGGATATTTTGCTTGAATGTATGTCTGTCCACCACCGGCAAGTCTGGCAAACACAGAGGATGGAAGAGGGTGTTAGCTTCTCTGGAACTGTTGTTCCAGTTAAAAGCCAGTAAGTGCTGAGAATTGAACCTGGGTCCTCTGGAATCGCAATAACCACTGAGCTCTCTCCAGACCAATATTTGCTTCTTTATTTGTTTGGTTTTAGAGATGTTTTTAGAGACACTGTTTCTCCACATAGCCCTGGCTGTTCTGGACTTGATTTGTAGACCAGCTGGCCTTGAACTCACAGAGATACACCTGCCTCTGCCTGCCTGAGTGCTGGGATTAGAGGTGTGCATTACCATGCCCAGCTTTACTTGGATTTTTCCAGACAGGGTGGTAGTGGTAGCGGTGGCAGCGGCAGCAGCCTTTAATCCCAGCACTCAGGTGGCAGAAACAGTCTGATCTCTGAATTTGAGGCCAGCCTGATCTACCAGAATGAGTTCCAGGACAGCCAGGGCTACACAGAGAGACCCTGTCTCAAAAAACAAACAAAAAAATTTGGAGTCAGGTATAGTGTTTACTCCTGTGGTACAGGTATTTTGGGAGGCTGAGACAGGAGGATCACTAAAAGTTCAAGACCATCTTGGGCTCTAATATTAGACCCTGTCTCAGTAGTAATTTTAATATTTTTAGTCATGCCTAGTGTCATGGGCCTGTAGTCCTGCCCTACCCCAGAGAGGCCAAGATAGGAGAATCACAAGTTCAAAGTCTGTCTGAGCTATAAAGTGAATTTAAGGCCAGTCTGTGCAACTTAATAAAACCCCATCTCAGGGCTGGAGAGATGGCTTAGTGGGTAAGAGCACCGTCTGCTCTTCCAAAGGACCCAGGTTCAATTCCCAGCGCCCACATGGCGGCTCACAGTCATCTGTAACTTCAGTTATAGGAGAGCTGATGCTGTCATCCTTTTGTTTTGTTTTGTTTTTATTTCTATGTGTTTCAAGACAGGGTTTCCTCTGTGTAGTCCTGGCTGTCCTGGAACATGCGCTGTAGATCAGGCATGCACCACCACACTTGGCGCTTATGTCCTTCCCTGTTCTCTTCAGGCACCAAACACATACATGATATACAGACAGACAGACAAAATATACAAATAAAAATAAATAAACCTTAAAAAAGAATATCTTCATGTAATGGGTTTATAACCCCAGAGCTGGGAAGAAAAGGTAGCTAGATTCCTGTAGTTCACTAGTTGGGCAGTCTAGTTGATAAATGCAAGTCGCAGGAACTTGAGAAAGAGACATCCTTTCTCAAAAAAGAAGGGGACCAGAGTGGTCAGTAAGAATGATTGTTAAGAAAACATGAAGAGTGTGAGTTTGTATCCACAGGGAGGATCATTAAGGCTTGCTGACTGCCTAGTTTGGGAAAACAACAAAACAAACAAACAAACAAAAAAACATGAAGTCTAGGTTTGTTTCTGCCTTTTTAAAAAAATTATTTTATGTAAATGAATGCTCTATCTGCATGTACACCTACATGTCAGAAAAGGGCATCAGATCTCAGTATAGCTGTGAGCCACCATGTGGTTGCTGGGAATTGAACTCAGGACCTCTAGAAGAGCAGCCAGTGCTCTTAATCTCTGAGCCTTGAACTCACAGAGATACA